TCCTTTGCTTATAATCTCTACACTATCGATTTAACTGTCAACAAAATCAGGAAATGCTCTATCGTGTCCATGGATTTTCCGGTCTATCGCTTGATTGTCGGGTTTGTTTACAGGCCGACGTCGCATGGCCCGAGTTAGACTGACATCTAGTCTCTGAAATGAACATATCGTAGAGAAAAAACAGTTGTTAAATTATCTTAATAAAAATATAATAAAAAGGAGCCCAGAGACTCTCTTCATTTTCAGATACTGCAGTAATCTAGACTTGCCAAACATTATAGACTTGCATGGGCTGTATTTGATATATTTGTATCAGGGTCTGTAAGACAGACTAGTAGAACAGGACATGCTTACCTTTTTCGCGAACACCTGGTGTCATCACTGATTTTCAGTTATCCATTCATGTACTTTACCCAGCTAGTTTCCCTTTTACGCCCAATGGAATCTGTTTCTGTTGATAATCGAGAATGGTTACTCTTACAAATCTGCTGGTGAGAAAACCATTCTGATATATCTGTGACCACTTTTCGTTAGAGCGGTGGTAAAGCAGTAGACTAACATCTAGTCTCTGAAATGAACATATCGTAAAGAAAAAAAACAGTTGTTCAGTTATCTTAATAAAAATATAATAAAAGGGAGCCGAGTGACACTCTTCATTTTCCTGCAGTAATCTAGACTTGCCAAACATTATAGACTTGCATGGGCTGTATTTGATATATTTGTATCAGGGTCTGTAAGACAGACTAGTAGAGCAGGACATGCTTACCCTTTTCGCGAACACCTGGTGTCATCACTGATTTTCAGTTATCCATTCATGTACTTACCCAGCTAGTTTGACTTTTCGCACAATGGAATGTTTCAGTGGATAATCGAGACTGGTTATTTTAAAAAAATCTGCTGGTGAGAAAACCATTTTGATATACCTGGTTTAAAAAGTGTGAGATCGAGTCTGGATGACGTCACTCAGGACCGTTATGCATTATTCCGATCATGAGAAAGGGCAAACTATTCATCGATTCTATGCTAAAATGGTGCGAATTTAAGGTTTGTAAGAAGCAGATTACTGCCCTTGTGTCTACCATATATCTTACAACTCGTTCATTCATGACGTTTTAAAACAACTACCATATTCGACGTAATAAGCGCCCAGGGCGCTCTCAAAATTAGAAATAAGAGCGCTTATTAGAATATTATTTTGGTAAATGGTGAACGTAAATTTTGTGGTCTATGCTGACACCCTGAAATGTATATATACGACAGATATATTTCTCCAGAAATTGATTGCCCATAATTAAGGGTACATATAACACACGAGTGTGTATAATACACGAATAAATAAGTCTTGTGTACATTGGTCAATCGGAAGGGGTGCTAATTGTGATTGTGCACTAGCCAATATATTAGCAAATATCGCCATGGCCGCTTATTACGTCGAATACGGTAGTTGTAAGACAAATGGATTCTAACAGACATTCGCGCAGTAATCTCTGGCTTTGACGTTTTATATTTTCGAAACAGGACTTGATATCAATGCACTGTCACAAATAATTGAATATGGCGTCTTCAATTATCATGGCATCACATACAAAATGGCATGTGGAGTTATTATTTCATATATTAACAAACGACTGACTGAGCTGTCTCTATTTGTGGCCGATCTATGTTTCTACATTGCAGAAGACTTGTGTATAGCCATTCGTCACCACTCGCCCCTTTCCGTAACCTGCAAGAAGACTCGTCCCCCCATCTGTGAATGTTATGTGCGAAAATGCGACAAACTAATCAGAATGCGCGTATGACGTAAAGTACTTCGGTCAAAGAATCCCTCAGGAATAATTTCTGATTGTGTGTATATCTTGCTTCTAAAATTATATCCACGTTACATGTGTTCAATCATTCTGTATAATACCCTAAGTCCCGATGTGTTTCAATATCATCTGGAATATTTATGATATATGGAGGAAATATACGTGAATCAGTATAGCAACGAGACAATTCTTTAAGCTATGCCCGTTTGCGCTTAGACGGAACCCAGTAGCAAAAATGGCCACGAGTGGGGCACGAGTCGCTATTCGGCTTGTCCCGGAGTGAGTTGGATTTAACGCCGCTTTAACAGTATTCCAGTTATATCAAGGCGTGTCAACTTAATGTGGGAGGAAAGCCCGAAGTGATGCAGGTCTCAGACGTTTACCACTTCGGTGAAACCCACGAGCGCGGGTATGGTGCTGACAAACCTGGAAACATAATTGGGGCGAATCGGGATTCGAACCCACAATCATTGGTTTCCGTCGTGCCTAAGGGACGCAACTCTGCACAGCGAATCGCGGCGCCTTAGACGACCTGGCCACCCGTGCCTCCTGTTATTAACTGAACATCTTCGTGCACAGGGTTCCCTGGCACTAAATTCCTTCTTCTCTTCATATATGAGATCGTGTTAATGTGCCTGTAATATGAGATAAATACAAACATGTATGCCCGCACCACGCCCCCGGCTTGCTCCGGAATAACACGAGTTAGTCACGAATGGTATATAGCACAACTTACTCGCAAATCGGGATTACAGATTATCTGTCACCTACTGGTGACATTGACATATATGTCGAGAACACTCTGACGTCATCGCATAATGTTCTCGCGTTGTGTCGAAGTGCACATGATTATTGCCTAAATGTTGGTTTGATACCTTTATACCATCTTCCCGAGGCAAGGGAGTTACCTGACTATAAAAGTCCGGTTTCCACCCTTGCCGAACGAGGCTGGAATTGTGGAGTTATATTTTGGCTGGACTAACGAATCTATGCATGGTTCATAACGAAATCAACATAATTGGGATTACAGATTATATGTCACTTTTGGATCGGGGCAGATAATACCTGTCTTAACGTTAACCGATAAACATTCTCAATATCCCGAACTCAGTATTCTCATTTGAATCATACACAAAATGTCAACTGAGAACAGTGAGTGCACTGTGTTAAAGCCGGGTGTTCAGACACTAAAGGCATGTCGCGATGACACCTGTGACGAGCCTCGATGTGTTTCGACAGTTACGCTTGATGCACAATACAGGATTGGATCAGCCTGAATACACGCTCCACACCCAGGTGAGGTGAAATGGGGTTTAACGTCGGGTCCAAGATTATTGCACTTATATAGCGACGTTCCACACACAGGAATTTGCATAGCTGTACACAAATTAATTTATTGTTATAAACCTATTGTTCTGTCATGTGCACTCTGACGGAATTTGTGAGACGCCACTACAACGTTATAAAGTAGTATATCGTACATAGCTATGTATAGGCGACCAGTGGATGATGCGGAGAAGTATGTATAAAATGAATTTTCAATAATTCACGATAAGCGCATTGAGAAAATTGTCCAAATTATGTAAAACCATCAAGTCATTGCTACCTATCAAGTAACTCTCACCCTTATTGAATTGCACATTGTATACCATGCTCGGTAAAGATGTTTTTGTATCTGTTGTATAGTTATTCGTATATGTATTATGTTGGAATAAGTTTGTACCTCTGATGTCGCTGAAAGCGGCCTGGGTGTAAATAAAAGTTAAGTTCTGCTACCATTTCGCAGCTTATTGCTGACAAAGCTACTACTACATGTTTACGCTTGTACTTAAAGAAGGGTAGAAAGCCCGACTAATAATCTATTGTTCTTCCGAACCTGTCAAAACCTTAATTAGTTCAAACGTCGTGGGGAACAGACATCTAAAACAATAACGGCTTTATGTTAGACAGGTTAAGTGTTAAGACAATGCATTCTGATCTCATTACGAGTTTCTTGTGGGCTGGCGCTCACCTGTACACACAGCCTCGGGGGTCGCGTCATCACTGTACCCTAATGCTTCTAGTGAGTTGTTGTACCTGACCCTGGCCTGCAGTTTACCTTATTATAATTGGCTCCATTGTTATAGGAAGGTGCTTCTTTTACTCTGTCAATTAACAGGCGTCGCTGTTGACCAATGGCATCTGGGGAGGTTTAAAATGATCTGCACATTCCCCTTAAATACCTAATTGCGCTGACTAACCACACCACTTTCACCCTTTTCGGAATATACTAAATGGTCTGGCCAGGCCCGTGTGCGAAATACGCTACAGTCTTCTATATCAGTCAGTCAGTCAGACTAACTGTTCAAAGGTCGAAGAAATTCCTTCGGATTTAATGTTTATCACATGTAACCAGATTCAGAAGGTAAGACTAAATCTCTCATGCAGACCCAGAAACAAAACTATCAGTCCCCAAATAGGTCAGCAATTCTGTGGTAAGTCCAGATGAAGCGCTATTCTTGGCCTTTGGTAATATTACCGACAAGCGAAAAAATGAAAACCTTTGAGAAATGAGTTTAGAGAAAATGCAAGTCTAGGTGAGACTGACATACCTTGACTGTACAGGTCAGCATGTACATGGTTTTGATATTGAGTGCATACGGTTTTACGTCGCTTTCAGCAATATTTCATTAATATTCTAGCTGGGGGCACACCAGAAATGAGCTTTACACTTTGTACCCATGTGTGGACATCAACCACGTACAATACATATGCCCTAATAAACTTTATTTCTTTTAGCGATCAAGACAATTAACATGAGACTAAGTAAAATGTGTCAGTGTATCCCGCTTCTTTGTTTTAATCCAATCACATTGAAAAGTATAAAACCAGTTTCCTTCTCTCAGTGTGGACAAGTTTATCTCATATCCCAGGTAAAGCTGGTCAGCCCTGTTCCCATCACATTGAAAAGTATAAAACCAGTTTCCTTCTCTCAGTGTGGACAAGTTTATCTCATATCCCAGGTAAAGCTGGTCAGCCCTGTTCCCATCACATTGAAAAGTATAAAACTAGTTTCTTTCTCTCAGTGTGGACAAGTTTATCTCATATCCCAGGTAAAGCTGGTCAGTCATGTGCACTCGTGCATCACGTATTTACCACCAATTCACGAGTTTATTATAAGCACAATGGGACTGGAGGACTTGCTGTCAGCTGTAAATTTGTTTTGATATGGGTGTGGGCGAAATGAGGACAGGCCGACTGGAGGCACACCACGAGGTCGGTGATGCATTGCAATACCTTTGTTCAACCGTTTCTGTTTACACGTTATCACGGGGAGTATCAGGCGAGGCTGCAACCGCATATGCATCCGGATTATGCGTCTAGTAGTGCCACCGTGAATACTTATAGGGTATACACTGCGTGGATACATGACACTAACAGGATCTACTCTCATAACATCTTTCAAAGGTATGTTGTGTTAAGACGTATGTATACAATTTTAAGTAGTGTTCATTATTTCTGACCCCGAAACATCACTACAGAACTATTGAACACTAAACTTTACAGAACTTTCTATTTAAAAATTAAAGTTCGTTTGCTTTTAAAATGCATACCGTGATGATGGTTAAATTCAAGTTCGAAGTAAACCGGTCAAACTTAAAATGGCCACGGGAATATGGCCGCCAATTCCTATCCCGACGCATATATGTATAGTATGACCATGTTCTATCTTGTCTTTGAAAGGCATTTAGAAGTGATTCACACAAGGAAGAGAATATATGGATGTCAACTTCTTTATTATGGGGAACACAACGTTTCGGAGTACGTGCTTACTCCTTCATCAGGTGAATGAATGCCATGAGGCAGAGAGCATATATATGTACATGTAAGGATAAAAAAAGTGGAAAATGACAGGGTACAAGCTAACAAAGGAAGCCGAAACTGGTTTACCGACTTTGCAATGGCAATTTTTAATTTTTCATTATATACCAGATGCCTGGATGAGTCACTGAAGGGTGTCAACTGAAAGGTGACATAAAGCACTGGGCCAGAAAGGTCGGCTCCTAGTTAATGCATAATTCGGAATCACTATCCACACATACATTTTCATTATTGTTTTTTTGCTTTGTATTATTGGCGTAATCTTTGCCTATTTGAAAAATGCACTTCAACTTCTTGGGTTTTACCCTTGATGTCCTTGCCTAATCTATCGGTTCACTTTGCGGTAGAATTACATGTCATGTTTATTTTAACTCTGACACGAAATATATAAAATGGACTTTTAATCTCAGATAAAGGTGAATCGCGGTGCTCTTTGAAGTTTCTTGTTGTTTGGTTTGTGTTTATTTAAGAAATTACGATTGAGGGGTGGTGTGAAAAACTAATCTGCGCTTACCGGTGTCAGCTGCGTGTCCAAAACCTGAACCATGTTCATTTAGAATTGATTACTAAACTTCTTTCACATTACCTTAAACTGTGTAATTAAAACACTGACGTAAAAAATAGAATTTAGAGATATAACTTGCTGAAGTTATATACGAAACCTTCGTGGTTTCTTCTTACGCCCCGAGGCTGAAGTTAGTTGGGTGATGGTGGTTTCATGTGTACAATAGGCAAGATACAGGCTGGAGAGGTTCTTTGAGTTGGGGATGCGGGATGTCCTACGCGACATTAAATAAACCTTAAGAACTGCTAGCGACCGTTTTCACATTTATTACGGAATTACAGATATCTTCAATTGTTTTTAAAGATATCTTGAATTGAATTGAAGATACCTTGAATCGAATTGAAGATATCTTAAATGCAGATAATTGTAGATATCTGCAATAAAATTTAAGATATCACGAAATGAATTAAGGATATGGTGAAGCGTATTACAGATATCTTGAAAAGAATTGAAGATATCTTAAATTCGATAATGGATATCAAAATATGATTTAAAGATATCAAAATGTCATGTTTTGTTATGATGTCATGAACTCAATTCCTGATATCTTGAAACTAAATACAGATATCAATAATTAATTATTGAAATCTTCAATTGTTGCCATTATCAAAGATGTTACATTAATAATGTTACTTAAATTAGATAACTGATATCAATAATTGATATAAAGATATCATCAAAATTATTAATGATATCTTTAAATGGATTTTTGATATCAGTAACGGTCAGAATTAATGATATCTTGAATTGAATTAAAGATATCTCTAATTGAATTAAAGATATATGTAATGCATTTGTGGATATGTATAACTTATTTCAAGATATCTTGAATTGAATTTAAGATATCTTGAATTTATTTCTAATATATTTATGTACTGTAGGATGGTAAATGTTAAATGATATCTTAAATACATTTTAAATACAAAACTAATTTGTTGATATCACCGTAACATTTTAAGATATCAGTAATTATATTATGGATATCAGAGATGAATTTAAGATATCTTTAATTAATTTTTGATATCTTAAAAACATTATTGATATCTTTAAATAAAATACCGATATCTTTAAAACAATTGAAGATATCTGTTATTCCTTAATAAATGTGAAAACGTCTTGCCACACGACCGACCAACTCGACCTGTTTGGAAAATGTAAACACGAAAGTCTTCAAAGGCACAACGTATAGTATCTCAAAAACTGATTGCCTCAGTTATGAATAATATTTAAACGTACTGCAGGAAAACGTTTGGCGAGTCTTACTTAAGTTTAAAACTTGTAACCATGATTTAAAAATGAAATGTCCACTGACATGTGATGAATTCCATTATTTGTTTATTTGTCCATCTTCCGAGAACGAAAAACCCCAAAACAAAACAATATTTACACAGATTCTACAACATGAAACCGAATATACATAAAATGAATTTACTTTCAATAAATCACGATTAGGAACATCGAGAATTGTCCAAATCCTTTAAAATCATCATGTCATTGTTTAAACCCATCAAGTAACTCTCCCTCTTATCGAATTGCACATATATTGCTACCCTTGTGAATCTGTATACAGATGCATACATGCTCGGTAAAGATGTATCCATTCTATATTTATATGTATATATATTATATGATTGTATATAAGTTTGTACCTCTGAATCATCAGACAGACCAGTCAAGTGTGACCAGTGTAATTGCCTGGTTTTACCTACTAATTACTGAGCTGTTCCATACAGTGGGCAGAGTAAGCTACCCCCACTCGTTACGTGATACAGATAAACCAGATTATGTTAATAACTTGCGTTTGATGCGTGTGTTTTATTAGCAAAGACTTAGAGTAGTTTTTGATCAGTGATATAGAGTAAAGGAAACTCATCCCTCTAGCTCTCTCTACAAATTCCTCCACACTTCTAAACGGGACCTTCTCACTGGTAACCTTTCAATTATCAGACAGCCCATTTGTCAGACAGCCTACACCAGGACTACTGTTGGTTGGTTAGTAAAGTGTTTATTTTCATTAAAGTGGAACAGACCAGAAATCTTCACCTGGGTTTTGTTTGTTTTGAATTGTTTTATACAAGTGAGAATTTCATTAGCTGTTATTGGTTTTATCAAGACTCGCATAATAATACGCATATCTCTATTTTTAGTGTTGAAAATGGTTTATTAGCTCCTCAGGATCAGGATAAACAAATTGCTTCTGGGATGAAATTCTAAGTTTATTTCCAAAAATGTGTTGGTTCCTGTTTTGATAGGGTTTCCAGTTCTAGCTGATTTTGTTTCCTTCTGAGTAACTTTTTGTATTTCTTTCAGCAAAATGAATCCTATTTTTAATTGATATGTTGTTTTATTTATTGAACTCGTGATATTTCCCCTCCATATTACGTTTTGCCTCTTAACATTTAACATCACACACATTTGATTTATTTTTTCAAGGCATTTTTAATTTGTTGACGGTTTGTAATATATCAGAAAAGGCATCAAAGAGTGCTTCATATTCAGAACTATCTTAACACAAAATCGTTTAAGGTAGTTTGAATATTTAGGCTAAAAGTGGCACGTTCAACACATATGTTACATTTGGAATACCAGTGTCTTCTATCCCCGTATTTCGCAAAGGTATTATGAATGGTCTCATGAATAAATATGCCAATCATATGAAAACATATAATTACATTCAAAACACTTACTGCAGAATAGAACCCATAAATATTATTATTGTATTGTTATAGACATTTTAAACTTTTCACATGTGTCATTCATATTGTACATACATCCTTAGACGAACACTTAGTCAATGAAAACATGTCTTTAAAATATCAAAATATTTTTTCGAAATAACCTTTCCTCCTCTGCTGTTTTCATATGTGGAATCAAACAAACTAGACTTGGTTAGTTTGATCTAGACTTGCCTAGGATTTTAGTAACACAAATGCATAAAAAATAGTCACGGTGCAGGACTAATATATCTTATAATTACCATTCTTTCTTCTCCTCACTTCGTTTTTCAAAAGTCAGTGAGTATGGTTTTACGCCGCTTTTAGCAACATTCCAGCAATATCACGGCGGGGGACACCAGAAATGGGCTTCACACATTGTACCCATGTCGGGAATCGAACTCGGGTCTTCGGCGTGACGAGCGATCGCTTTAACCACTGGGCTACCCGACCGCCCCTCGTTTCTAAAGACAGTTAACCCAACTGTCTGAGCCTCTGTGCTGACCATCTGCATTATTTTAAACCACGCCGTCTAATGAAGGGTGATACTGGTGGTCTACATGGCCCAGCTATGCAGAGTGGGTGATATGATAGGTTACCTGATTATTACCCGATTTTGATGATTAGGTTAGGTTATTTGTTGTTTTACGCCGCATTCAGCAATATTCTAGCTATGTGACGGCGGTCTGTAAATAATCGAGTCTGAACGAGACAATCCATTGATTGACATGATGAGCATCGATCCACGCAATTGGGATACGATGACATGCATCAACCAAGTCAGCAAGCCTGACCACCCGATCCCGTTAGTCGCCTCTTACGACAAGCATAGTCGTCTTTCACGGCAAGCATGGATTGCTGAAGACCTATTCTACCCCGGATCTAAACGGGTTGTTTTTTTATGGTATCTCTACATTTTGACTAAGAATATGTAGTAACATCTGTATTTGTTTCAGCAGGTGCAGGACACAAAGATGGGGATGTCAAAATACCTGCGGAAAACAGGTGAGAAGAATGCACTTGTGCATCGTCATCATTGTTTCAACCAATTTACCGTCACAAGACTGTTGTTGGGTTCTCAAAGACACGCTGCCGGACAAAAAGAGTTATACACTTGAAAATTTAGTTTAACAAAAGTTTACAAATATAGCAAAACGTTATTAGACTGAATATAACTATGATATCCGTATATAAAAAAACAACATCACCATCGAATAACCATACGAAACACTGCAAACTTAAGGTCCAAAACTCAACTAGGATACCCGTTTAAAAAAAAACCCATCTCTATCGAAGAACCATTTCTTGTTTGTTTCACTTTCAGTCACCACCAAACATGGTGTCCACTTTCTTTTGTCGGGCAGTTTACTACAGCTATAGAGAGGGAACTTTGTATTCTGATTTTTTTTACGTTTGGACTTTTTTTCTGAAAATAATTGTGTAATTTTGGTGCTGATTCTACATATAAAATTTACACCTGTTCGTCTTCTTCCATTAAACCACCATAGAAGCTATATTGGATTGCACAAAAGGAACATTATTTTCCACTTCGACTTTTGTATGAATAATTATGTATAAGTTTCACATGAATCTTCACACAAAACTACTACGTCGTAGTAATAACCGTGTACGTGACGTTAAACCCCATGTCACGTCTACCCACAAACTACTCACTGTGTATGTTGAATAACTGTCAGGCAATGCACGATTTTCCGCTGCTGCGTTTTAACATGGACAGGGAATCTAGCATGTCTATTGTGCTGAAATGCACTGGATGTTGCATGTCTATTGTGCTGAAATGCACTGGATGTTGCAGGTCTATTGTGCTGAAATGCACTGGATGTTGCAGGTCTATTGTGCTGAAATGCACTGGATGTTACATGTCTATTGTGCTGAAATGCACTGGATGTTACATGTCTATTGTGCTGAAATGCACTGGATGTTGCAGGTCTATTGTGCTGAAATGCACTGGATGTTGCAGGTCTATTGTGCTGAAATGCACTGGATGTTGCAGGTCTATTGTGCTGAAATGCACTGGATGTTGCAGGTCTATTGTGCTGAAATGCACTGGATGTTGCAGGTCTATTGTGCTGAAATGCACTGGATGTTGCAGGTCTATTGTGCTGAAATGCACTGGATGTTACATGTCTATTGTGCTGAAATGCACTGGATGTTGCAGGTCTATTGTGCTGAAATGCACTGGATGTTGCAGGTCTATTGTGCTGTAAAGGAAAGGATGTTGCATGTCTATTGTGCTGAAATGCACTGGATGTTGCAGGTCTATTGTGCTGAAATGCACTGGATGTTGCAGGTCTATTGTGCTGAAATGCACTGGATGTTGCATGTCTATTGTGCTGAAATGCACTGGATGTTGCAGGTCTATTGTGCTGAAATGCACTGGATGTTGCAGGTCTATTGTGCTGAAATGCACTGGATGTTGCAGGTCTATTGTGCTGAAATGCACTGGATGTTTCATGTCTATTGTGCTGAAATGCACTGGATGTTGCAGGTCTATTGTGCTGAAATGCACTGGATGTTGCAGGTCTATTGTGCTGAAATGCACTGGATGTTGCAGGTCTATTGTGCTGAAATGCACTGGATGTTGCATGTCTATTGTGCTGAAATGCACTGGATGTTGCAGGTCTATTGTGCTGAAATGCACAGAACCCAGCATGTCCTTTGTGCTGAAATGTACACGACGGCCTGTTATTTTTAGACCTGATTTTTAAAACATATCGTTCTTTATATTTACGGTTACAATACGTTTATTGTTTTTTTAATGATAAGCATCAATGCACGTCAGTTTGTGTAAACCTATTACGGTTTTCGTCATGTTTCAGGTGTGCGATTTTTTATAAAACCCTTTCTGCTCCTTATGACTCTGTTCGCCTTTTACGTCTCTCTGCGATCTCAAATCACATCACAGATTTCTAGCGGTAAGTCTACCTTTTGGGTTCATATAAAAGAGGAATTAAAAACTGTTGCATGTATGTCCCCGTTCATAGTCTAGTCTATTTGTTCACACTGGAGACATAGGTTGCATGTTTTGCATGGTATGCCAATGTTAGCCAGTAACTAGGCACCCCATATAAGAATGGGTTGCTCTGGTCTTGCACACATACCCTTAGGCAAACCAACATGTTATACATTTTATTTATGACTGAAAATCAATATATATGATGTAAGGTGTGTGTACCTACACTACTACATGATCACCTGACGTCTTCCACGTATATATCTGATCACATGATTTCTTTCCCATATCTATCTGATCACATCACTTCTTCCCAATATATTCCTGATCGTATGACTTCTTCCCCTATCTACCTGAACACATATGACCCACCGCCATGAATGATAAGGTTCTCAGTGGCTCTGCTATAATGATCAATATTAGTCATGCAATATAAATGTCTAGTAGACGCACCTTCAATACTTTTCAAGATATGTTTGTGAACTGCTTCACTGATGCGCCACTGAATGTGGGGTTGAAAAAAACCCGCTGTCACGTGGAACGCAGCGCTGTTGTTGCACTGTCGCTTCACTGTGTGCTTTGAGGGCTGTTTTTCGGTGATATTGTAAAAAATATCGATAGATGAGTATTAGTGGTAACATACGTAAATATCATAATCAATCAATAGATCGTAAGGTACTCAACCTTTGGAAATCCAGGGTAGAATAGGTCTTCAGCAACCCATTCTTGCAGTGAAAGGCGACTATGCTTGTCGTAAGAGGCGACTAACGGGATCAGGTGGATCGCTGACTTGGTTGATGCATGTCATCGTATCTCAAATGCGTGGATCGATGCTCATGATGTCAATCACTGAATTGTCTGGTACCGTTTTGATTATTTACAGACCGCCATAATATATCTGGAATATTTCTGATTGCGGCGTTAAACAACAAACAAACTAACAAACAAACATGGTGTTCTCTAAAAAAAAACACCGACTGGTTAATGACGTTGACAAACAATGATGGTGCTATGCCAGCAGACAAATGATGGCTACAAAGTATACTCCCAGTTGAGCACACACCTCAACAAAAACTAGCAAACGTACCCAATTTCTGTTTAAATTTGCAGAGGTCGAACGGTTGAGAGCTCAAGTAATTTCAATCCAAACGAAAAATGGAGAACAATTGCACATTCCAGACACAGGTTTGTACTTTTTGTTTAATATCAACGTCCTGGTCGACAGCTGGGTTTAACGTCCTGGTCGGCAGCTGGGTTTAACGTCCTGGTCGGTAGTAGGGTTCAACGCGCTGGTCGGCAACCTGATTCAAAGTGATAATGTTTCTAGGTTTGTCAGCACAATGTGTATATATTGGATTTGTTGCAACAAATGGGAAACGTCTACGTCCTGCTTAACTAATATTTCACTCACTCACTCACTCACTCACTTGTTAACATATTTCATATGAAAACATTAACCTTAATAATATTAGTTTTTATACTTTGTCTAGATTTGAACACCTTTTGCAGAAAAATAGCTAGTCTAAGCAAAATAGTCTTATTCGATGTACAAACCAATACAACAAACATTAGTCTACTGAGATAATGAGAGTACCATTTTGGGATGTAAAATTATTTTAGATAAAAATGACGTTTACATGATAGTATATGATATTCATCTTCTAAACCAGTGTAAACCACAAAGTGAAAGCTAGAATCTTTCTCCACCTTGCGTCAGTAGGTGTGTATATTAAGACCTTTTGTTCGGCAACTAGATTTGGCAATGGCTCTGCGTATCTTTACAGAATTGATACCTACTAAATAAGATTCATAATGGCAGCAATGGAAGAGCTTTGTGTACTTAATGTTCCAAACGTAACTGACTCTGAACCTAAATTGGTTGGTTGGTTGGTTTGTTGTTTAACACCGCACTCAGCAATAATCCAGCTTTAAGACGGTGGTCTGTAAATACTAGTAATCGAGTCTGAACGAGACAATCCAGTGATTAATATCATGAGCATCGATCCACGCAATTGGGATCGGTGACATGCATCAACCAAGTCAGCGAGTCTGACCACCCGATCCCGTTAGTCGCCTTTTACGACAAGCATAGTCACCTTTTATGACAAGCATGGATTGCTGAAGACCTATTCTACCCCGGAATCTTCACGGGTCCTGAACCTAAATATAAACAAATCGATATCGCCTACTTCTTGTGCAAATAACGTTACCCATGCATTACTTTAACTCTGCGGGAATGAGTAATGGTTAAATTGATATTATCAAGTATAATGACAGTTCTTTCAATTATTAAATTACATAAAAATTATCTCGGTATACTTTCCTTTGCCCCTCAGTTTACATCCTTCTAATCCTGTCCAAGGCAAATAGCCTTTTCAATTTCGACTATCAGCAACGCCATTTATACAGTGAAGAGGATATGACGAAGAACTGAACCCTGTGGAAGGCCACCTTTTGAAATTGAGCTTGGGTGTTGGCTCGATATATATACTGTTGTAGCCAGTCGAACCATATATAAGGTATTCTTTGTCAAACGTATCAATATGAGATACCTCAGAGAAAACCGTAAAAAGTATTTGGTAGTGTTTTGTACATCTCATGTTCGACTTCCCCTGCCCGAATCATGTCTCCAAGCATACAGCCACTTGCAAAGTTCACCCTGCCTGTGAAACATGACGCAAATTAAGTACCACATACTCAGCTTCTATATAGGTCAGGTCAATGGCGCGCCTGTTTCGCGGTTTGTTTTGGCCGCCATGCCAAGATACTAGATAATCGTGCATGTCCACCTATTAATATTTACTACGTTCACTTGAAAAAAAGTCGACGTTTTTTCCAAATCTGCAAGTCAAGCAACGTTAACGCACAGCGGCAACTGAAAAAATATTTAACAGTTTCAACATAAAGAATTATATGCTGGCGTTACTTTTCAAAATGCTTTGATATTAATATCTCACTGGTATGCTGATAAGCTGCCTGTTTTAAGAAAAACAAACTTCTTTCCTTGCAACGGATCAGTGCTTTTCGTGACTTGGTTGTAATATGACGAGACCAGACATGCATGAAACATTTTTTATTATTGAACGCAGATTGTTTTTCTAGACTAATATCTAGTCTCTGAAATGAACACATCTTACATAAAAAAACAGTTGTTCAGTTATCTTAATAAAAATATAATAAAAAGGAGCCCAGTGACTCACTTCATTTTCAGAAATGCAGTGATCTAGACTTGCCAAACATTATAGACTTGCATGGGCTGTATTTGATATATACTTGTATCATGGTCTGTAAGACAGACTAATTGTTTTTTCTGATAATCTGCACAATGCCATTGTTATAATGTGAAAGTTTGTTTATTTGTTTGTTTGTTGTTTACACCGCTCTCAGCAATATTCCAGCTATATGACGGTGGTCTGTAATTAATCGAGTCACAGACAATCCAGTGATTGACATCATGATCATCGATCCACGCAACTGGGATATGACATGCATCAACCAATTCAGCGAGTCTGACCACTCGATCCCGTTAGTCGCCTCTTACGACACGCATAGTCGCCTTTTAGGGCAAGCATCGGTTGCTGAAGACCTATACTGTGAAAGTGATGCTCATTATCTGGTGATTGTAAAACGCTCAAATATATCCACTGTCAAAGAGTTTGATAATTTCTCCAAAAGTGTAATTTGTTAAACTTTGTAATTCTTTCTCGTTCAGTTGAATCAGAGGAGGTCGATTCACTTCCAAACATCCAACATGGAACAGGGACGCAGGGGAACCACCTTGAGAAAACGTTGGTCAATATATATAAATCAAAGTTGAAAGGTATGTATATGTCCTAAAATGATTGTACTATTAATTGTTATTGTACTTCAATTGTTATTGAAGCGAGTAAGATGCTGACATTAATTGTTATTGTACTTCAATTGTTATTGAAGCGAGTAAGATGCTGACATTGATAATAATTCACTGCAATAACTTATTCTGCTTTGGTCTCTCTTTTCTCTCTTGTGGCCGGTCGTCTAAAGCGCCTAAATTTGCTGCGCAGAGTTGCGTCCCTTGGGTATGCCAGAAACCTAAGATCATGGGTTCGAATCCCGGTTCGCCACATTTATGGTTCGGGGTTTGAGAGTATCATACCTGTGCTTAAGGTAAACGTCTGAGACCTGCATCACTTCGGGCTTTCCTCCCACATCAAGCTGACACGCTGTGATATAATTGGAATACTGCTCAAAGCCGCGTTAAACCCAACTCACTCACTCATTTTAATCACCTGGATTTCGGATCTTTCTTCTTTAAATATAAATACGTCTTTCTTCCTATATTGACCTAAATTGAGGAATAGAAAAAAAACACATTGGGTTGGGGGTCCGTTAAACAAGTACTTGCATCATACTACCTGATAAGAGCACACATAAACAAGTAAACGCAATATAACGGCTCTGATCCAAAATGTGTTCACCACCAATCTGCGTCAGTTGTCATTTGTAAATTAACATGCCTGGTTTATAGAAGTATCATTTTCCAAATCTTCGACATTCACTCACTCACCCACTCACCCTAGCCATATCCACCACTATTGCAGCGTCACGTTTATCAGCGTCTATGATCGCTTCCATATGTTCACACTCCAGCGACAAAATATGACCGGGATCTGATACTTCTTCCATTAGTGACGAAGCCAGAGTATACGCACAAGATCCAGGAGATGTTTATTTTGCGTGTGTTGTTGTATAACTTGATGTCTTGATTGTGGGCACATGACGTACAGGGGGGTTTGGAAGTACATATGTGACTATTATCAGATGTGAAGGAGAACGTTTTTGTAAAAAAACTGCTCTTCCGTGCAACTAAAATACATTATGTATTGAATGCACCGTTGGAATAGGATCCTTAAATTGATGCTGGTTTGAAATGCGATATTTCTGACTGCGACGTTGAATTACGAAACAAACAAGCGAATATGTATTCAGTGTGCGAGATTAGTCTCAATTTTGTAATTGATATCTTTTCCCGTAAAAAACAAGTCTCGTTCTCAAGTGCGACCTTCAAAAAGTAAATACTATTTGCTAGCAGATGACATATTCACTCTATAGTCTCTGTCAACTGGAGTTTTTAAACAGAGGTTTCTACTGAAACAACTTTTTTGTACTTTTATTAGTTTTCCATGTTACGAAATATATTCACTGGATATTAATGCTTTTCACCTGGATAATAAGGTTTATTCATTTCATGATGAGGATTATCTATGTCCAGACAGCTTAAGACAGAAAGAACCAAATGTCAAACACCACAACCTGCAAACAATCAGTTTAGACCCCTGACATACAAATTAGACCATCAATGACATATCAGTCAACACAAATTTAAACAAACGGTATGAAGCTGCTCTAAAGTAACATATCGGTCACTAGAATGTGATGCTATAAGTAAGGTGCCAGATTTATTTATGTTTCTGGCCGCTCTGTGTGGGACTTCTTGGTCACCTCGAGGGGAAAACTGGGGACTTTCTTTTATCCAATTAAAAACATGTTTACAGTTGTAGCTCCTCCTATTTTAAGTTGGATATAGTAAGCTTAGTGATCAGAGATTGCAGGAAGCATAGGAATTGGCCCCTCCTCCCCTTAAGATAGATTGAACCCATATTTTCTATATTTCTACCCTGTGAGAGAATATTTTGAGGTCACGTGACTTCAATAAACATGTTCTCACAGCCTCTACAGTGCATGGATGGGTTATATTTTGGTATTATGTTGATAAATTGGACATATGTGGAAATGGGAAATATATGAAAACATTACATGTTCATATAGGATTTGTAATAAAAGGTTTATATGAGGTAGGTGTAGAGCCAAGGATTTTTCACTTCCTGTGACAGGGGTTGTGACGTCGCTATGGGGCCTTTAGCATTGAATCTATTTATAACCTGTTTGAAAGCGAGGCTTGGTTTTCATCTATAAGCGGTAACATAGGCTGAGCACGCACACTAATTGAGGAAACCATGTTTTTTTTACAGATATTAAAGTCCCGCCGTCGACAGCTAAGCTCTCCTGTGATGATGAAGAGAGCATTGGTAAGGATGCGGCTTCATATAGACATAGTACATCTACCCCAGTACCCCATGCTTGTCTCCCCGTGGGGATACAGGGATAGAATCTACCCAAGTACCCCATGCTTGTCATCCCGTCGGGATACAGGGTTAGAATCTACTCCAGTACCCATGGCTTGTCTCCCCGTGGGGGTACAGGGATAGAATCTACCCCAGTACCCATGGCTTGTCTCCCCGTGGGGGTACAGGGATAGAATCTACCCCAGTACCCCATGCTTGTCACCCCGTCGGGATACAGGGATAGAATCTACTCCAGTACCCATGGCTTGTCTCCCCGTGGGGGTACAGGGATAGAATCTACCCCAGTACCCCATGGCTTGTCTCCCCGTGGGGGTACAGGGATAGAATCTACCCCAGTACCCCATGCTTGTCTCCCCGTGGAGGTACAGAGACAGGATCTACCCCAGTACCCCATGCTTGTCTCCCCGTGGGGGTACAGGGATAGAATCTACCCCAGTACCCCATGCTTGTCTCCCCGTGGGGGTACAGAGACAGGATCTACCCCAGTACCCAATGCTTGTCTCTCCGTTGGGGATACATGGACAGTACCTACCCAAGTACCCCCTAGTCTCCCCGTGGGGATTAAGGGATAGAATCTAATCCAGTACCCATGGCTTGTCTCCCCGTTAGTGTAAAGGGATAGAATCTACCCCAGTACCCCACGCTTGTGTCCCCGTTAGGGTAAAGGGATAGAATCTACCCCAGTACCCCACGCTTGTCTCCCCGTTAGGGTACAGGAATAGAATCTACCCCAGTACCCCATGCTTATCTCCCCGTTAGGGTACAGGGATAGAATCTACCCCAGTACCCCATGCTTGTCTCCCCGTGGGGGTACAGAGACAGGATCTACCCCAGTACCCCATGCTTGTCTCCCCGTGGGGGTACAGAGACAGGATCTACCCCAGTACCCAATGCTTGTCTCTCCGTTGGGGATACATGGACAGTACCTACCCAAGTACCCCCTAGTCTCCCCGTGGGGATTAAGGGATAGAATCTAATCCAGTACCCATGGCTTGTCTCCCCGTGGGGGTACAGGGATAGAATCTACCCCAGTACCCCACGCTTGTCTCCCCGTTAGGGTACAGGGATAGAATCTACCCCAGTACCCCATGCTTATCTCCCCGTTAGGGTAAAGGGATAGAATCTACCCCAGTACCCCATGCTTGTCTCCCCGTTAGGGTAAAGGGATAGAATCTACTCCAGTACCTCATGCTTGTCTCCCCGTTAGGGTACAGGAATAGAATCTACCCCAGTACCCCATGCTTATCTCCCCGTTAGGGTACAGGGATAGAATCTACCCCAGTACCCCATGCTTGTCTCCCCGTGGGGGTACAGAGACAGGATCTACCCCAGTACCCCATGCTTGTCTCCCCGTGGGGGTACAGAGACAGGATCTACCCCAGTACCCAATGCTTGTCTCTCCGTTGGGGATACATGGACAGTACCTACCCAAGTACCCCCTAGTCTCCCCGTGGGGATTAAGGGATAGAATCTAATCCAGTACCCATGGCTTGTCTCCCCGTTAGGGTAAAGGGATAGAATCTACCCCAGTACCCCACGCTTGTCTCCCCGTTAGGGTACAGGGATAGAATCTACCCCAGTACCCCATGCTTATCTCCCCGTTAGGGTAAAGGGATAGAATCTACCCCAGTACCCCATGCTTGTCTCCCCGTTAGGGTAAAGGGATAGAATCTACCCCAGTACCTCATGCTTGTCTCCCCGTTAGGGTACAGGAATAGAATCTACCCCAGTACCCCATGCTTATCTCCCCGTTAGGGTACAGGGATAGAATCTACCCCAGTACCCCATGCTTGTCTCCCCGTTAGGGTAAAGGGATAGAATCTACTCCAGTGCCCCATGCTTGTCTCCCCGTTAGGGTACAGGGATAGAATCTACTCCAGTACCCCATGCTTGTCTCCCCGTTAGGGTACAGGGATAGAATCTACCCCAGTACCCCATGCTTGTCTCCCCGTTAGGGTAAAGGGATAGAATCTACTCCAGTACCCCATGTCTCTCTCGCCGTGGGGATAATTTCATATGCGGAATAGAGCTAGCTTGAGCTGGCTAGACTTGCTTTTGTATACATATCTAGATATCATAAAGTAAATTAATTCCACAGTCATTGTGCAGGATTAGGCAGGGTCATGCTAACTTTTGAAACTTGAAACAGCCCCGAATGACACTATGAGCAGTTATGAATATACAGTCAACACGTTGGTGATCCAGTTGATCAATCAAACATTCAACACGGCTATGTACTGTTTCAGACAGGCCCTGTGTAGACACGAGGTGCAAAGCTGATTTTCTTCAACCTCAGGAAGAGAACTTGGTGGACGTGTTGCGCCGACAGTACCCCATTCCAGAGAAGTACATGCGCGTTATAGAGAAGATGGTGGACCCGAGACGAGACAAGACCAGAATCTCGTTTGTCACTGCAGCCTCGGCCAACCACTTCTACGAGTGCCAGGTTTTGATGAAGAACTTGATCGAGAATGTCTTTCCGAGTTTATCACAGTTCCGATTTTATGTCTACGACCTGGGATTAACGCCTGAGCAAGTTTCAACGGTTCGTGTTAATATTCAATAATATATGTTTTGTCCTTTTCTTTAGAGGGTATTGATGATGCGGCTAAAAGCAACATTTACTCACTCACTCTTTAGAGGGGCGCTAGTCTGTCTTACAGACCCTGATACAAATATATATCAAATACAGCCCATGCCAGTCTATAATGTTTGGCAAGTCTAGATCGCTGCAGTATCAAAATGAAGAGAGTCACTGGGCTCCTTTTTATTATATTTTTATTAAGATAACTGAACAACTGTTTTTTTATGTACGATATGTTCATTTCAGAGACTAGATTTTAGTCTAGAGGGGCGCGGGTCCAGGCGTCACTATTTGCTCTGCACAGTTGCGTCCCTTAGGCATGCCAGGAGCCTATGCTTGTGTTCGAATTCCATTTCGCCATGGTTATCTGAAATACTGTTCAAAGAGGCTTTATAGACAACTCACTCACTAACTCCTTCCCAAAGTCACGGGTTTATAAGCTGGCATTCGTGTTGCAATCAGGGGACGTAAGCTTAGTGTAGTAGGTGTCCGCTCGTCACGGCAAACACTCATTATCTTTCCCATTAGTGAGTGGTGAAGAATGTATCTTTCCCACACGAGAACTTCTTGTTGTTCACAGGCGTGATCTCTCTGGAGTATTGCAGAGTACAAACCGCCTCAATCATACCTCTCATACCGTAAATTGTTTTGGAACATAATATCACAAATATGTCGTTTGTTTGTTGCGCTTAAGCCGCACTTAGCAATAGTCTACCTGGAACACGATGGTCCGTAAATAATGGAATCAGGAACACACAATCCAGTAATTGACATCATGAGCATCGATCTCACATAATTATGTCGTAGAGTCAGTCACCTTACTCTGTAATTATCTCGTTGTGATTCGGTTTCACAATGGCCGTATAACACTTAATAAAACAAATCCTTACTCTGATACGTTGGACCCGTGAAGATCCGGGTCGGAATAGGTCTTCAGCAACCCATGCTTGTCGTAAAAGGTCACTATGCTTGTCGTAAAAGGCGACTAACGGGATCGGGTGGTCAGGTTCGCTGACTTGGTTGATAAATGTCGATGCTCATGATGCTCATATTTTCAATCACTGGATAGTCTGGTCCACACTCGATTATGACTCGCCGTCATCTAGCTAGACTATTGCTACTTTAAACAACAAACAAACAAACAAACAAACACATCTGATACGTTACCCGTGCAAGAAGATGCGAGGACACCCCGGTATTTGACTTCTACAACGCGCGTGAGCTTAACGCGTGGGGAAATCCTCAAGTGACGCAGGATTATCATGCTGGGGATACCTACGATCATTGATGCGATATTGATAAACAATGTTACTGGTACACACAACGACTTGTGTCGCCTCATCCACCCCTTGGCCACCGCAGATTGCCAGAAGAAAATATATTCGTCTTGTCAAGCCGATCGGGGGACTGGAGAGATTTTACGACCGCTTCATTAAACGCCTTCTGTCTGTATCAACCATTGAACAAATCTATTGTCATTGGATTCCGGAATAGTAGATTGATTATGTTTCACCTGTCGTTTCTAGTTCGCTTGGGCGTGTAAATGTTGTCATGGTTGTCGAAGCCTTCCTCATGAAATCAAAGTTATATCAAATATAAACAAAACAATGTTCAACATAAATAATGGTGGGACATTCGTGACCAACTCGTGTTATTCCGGGACAAGCCGAATAAACACTCGTGCCCCTCTCGTGGCCATTTTTGCGACCGGGTTCCGTCTTAGCGCAAACGGGCACACCTAAAACAATTGTCAACTCGTTGCGTAATGGTTCACACATTTACCCATATATTATATATATTTCAGATGCAATTTAAAGCACACCGGGACGTGCTGAATTATACAGTATGATTGAACACATTTAACTGTGTCTTTGGTATATTTTTAGATGCAAGACATATGTAAAATCAAAAATTATTTCCGAGAGATTCTTTGACGAAGAAATTGAAATCATACGCGCATTCTAATTGGTTTGTCGTATTTTCGCACATAACATTCATCGATAGGGGGACGAGTCTTCTTGCTGGTTACGGAAAGGGGCGAGTGGTGACGAATGAATGGTGGGACTAAACAGTCGAACAGACACGAAACACTTTTTGTGAGTGAGTGAGTATGGTTTTACGCCGCTTTTAGCAATATTTCAGCAATATCACGGCGGAGGACACAAGAGCGAACGCTTTAACCACTAGGCTACCCAACCGCCCCACTTCTGCTTGATCCGATCACACAACATATGATAAACTTAACGTTGGTTTCAGCTCAAGAAACACTGCCCTGTGTGTATTCTCCGGAAATTCCCGTTCAGCCAACTACCCCCCGTGTTCAGCAACCTCAAGTCTTACACCTGGAAACCCACTATAATACAGGTAGGTGCCATAACGTCATGCATTCTGACATCCCTGCATAATCTACGTCCTTGAATCTGTGCCATAACGTCATGCATTCTGACACATCCCTGCATAATCTACGTCCTTGAATCTGTGCCATAACGTCATGCATTCTGAAACATCCCTGCATAATCTGCTTCCTTGAATCTGTGCCATAACGGCATGCATTCTGACACATCCCTGCATAATCTACTTCCTTGAATCTGCCATAACGTCAAGCATTCTGACACATCCCTGCATAATCTATGTCCTTGAATCTGTGCCATAACGTCATGCATTCTGACATCCCTGCATCATCTACTTCCTTGAATCTGTGCCATAACGTCATGCATTCTGACACATCCCTGCATAATCTACGTCCTTGAATCTGTGCCATAACGTCAAGCATTCTGACACATCCCTGCATCATCTACGTCCTTGAATCTGTGCCATAACGTCATGCATTCTGACACATCCCTGCATCATCTACGTCCTTGAATCTGTGCCATAACGTCATGCATTCTGACACATCCCTGCATAATCTACTTCCTTGAATCTGTGCCATAACGTCATGCATTCTGACACATCCCTGCATAATCTACGTCATTGAATCTGTGCCATAACGTCATGCATTCTGACACATCCCTGCATAATCTACTTCCTTGAATCTGTGCCATAACGTCATGCATTCTGACACATCCCTGCATAATCTACGTCCTTGAATCTGTGCCATAACGGCATGCATTCTGACACATCCCTGCATAATCTACTTCCTTGAATCTGTGCCATAACGTCATGCATTCTGACATCCCTGCATCATCTACTTCCTTGAATCTGTGCCATAACGTCAAGCATTCTGACACATCCCTGCATAATCTATGTCCTTGAATCTGTGCCATAACGTCATGCATTCTGACATCCCTGCATCATCTACTTCCTTGAATCTGTGCCATAACGGCATGCATTCTGACACATTCCTGCATCATCTACGTCCTTGAATCTGTGCCATAACGTCATGCATTCTGACACATCCCTGCATAATCTACTTCCTTGAATCTGTGCCATAACGTCATGCATTCTGACACATTCCTGCATCATCTACTTCCTTGAATCTGTGCCATAACGGCATGCATTCTGACACATCCCTGCATCATCTACGTCCTTGAATCTGTGCCATAACGGCATGCATTCTGACACATCCCTGCATCATCTACGTCCTTGAATCTGTGCCATAACGTCATGCATTCTGACACATCCCTGCATCATCTACGTCCTTGAATCTGTGCCATAACGGCATGCATTCTGACACATCCCTGCATAATCTACGTCATTGAATCTGTGCCATAACGGCATGCATTCTGACACATCCCTGCATAATCTATGTCCTTGAATCTGTGCCATAACGTCATGCATTCTGACACATCCCTGCATAAACTATGTCCTTGAATCTGTGCCATAACGTCATGCATTCTGACACATCCCTGCATAATCTATGTCCTTGAATCTGTGCCATAACGTCATGCATTCTGACACATTCCTGCACAATCTACGTCCTTGAATCTGTGCCATAACGTCAAGCATTCTGACACATCCCTGCATAATCTATGTCCTTGAATCTGTGCCATAACGTCATGCATTCTGACACATCCCTGCATAATCTACGTCCTTGAATCTGTGCCATAACGGCATGCATTCTGACACATCCCTGCATAATCTACTTCCTTGAATCTGCCATAACGTCAAGCATTCTGACACATCCCTGCATAATCTACGTCATTGAATCTTTGCCATAACGTCATGCATTCTGACACATCCCTGCATCATCTACGTCCTTGAATCTGTGCCATAACGTCAAGCATTCTGACACATCCCTGCATAATCTATGTCCTTGAATCTGTGCCATAACGTCATGCATTCTGACACATTCCTGCATAATCTACGTCCTTGAATCTGTGCCATAACGTCAAGCATTCTGACACATTCCTGCATAATCTACGTCCTTGAATCTGTGCCATAACGTCATGCATTCTGACACATTCCTGCATAATCTACGTCCTTGAATCTGTGCCATAACGTCATGCATTCTGACACATCCCTGCATCATCTACGTCCTTGAATCTGTGCCATAACGTCATGCATTCTGACACATCCCTGCATAATCTACGTCCTTGAATCTGTGCCATAACGTCATGCATTCTGTCACACCCAGTCCAGTTTCCACCTCTAGCGCCCGCAGTGGCTATTACGAGTTATGCCCCTATTGTGCAATCAGATGCCACCTCGCGAAGTGCATCAAATCACTTGAGCACCTTGATTTAAAATATGAAAAGATGTGGAAACTATCTGTCGACGCCCAGTTAACGGCAGTCGCCGTTTAATCCAATCAAACCTAGTTTGGCAAGGGAAGATGTCTGAGACACCCAGCACCATTCCCTTCCTTGAATCTATGCCATAACTTCATTCATACAGAACCACCTGCGTCATTCATTAAATACTATTGCAGCAACTTTTCATTGTAATGTGTTTACTCACACAGTATACATCTGTCGAATCAATACATAGTTAAAGTTAACTCGGAATATGTTCTTCAATTACTTTGCAAACTTCAATAAAACTTTTTTTTATTCTGCAGGCTCATCTCCCGGTATCGAAGTATGTATTTTGGATGGACGCGTCAGTAAGGTTCCTCGTGCGTAATCTCACGGGAATACTCGAGACTGTACGAAACCGAGGCATGATGATCTCGCCATCTCACGTGTCCACGCCGCTGCACACAGACCCAAAAATGTATGACTATTTCGGCGTTGAGCCGTGCCAGATGTCACGATTCCGAGAAATGGAAGGCACATTTTTGATATTCCACAATGATGTGTTTACCCAGAATGCAATAGTACTTCCTTGGTTGGCGTGCGCATTCGCACCCAACTGCATGTACCCCTTCAAAGAAATACCCGCATCTTCAAGCCACTATTCCTGCAAAACGACTCAGAGAAAATATGGGACATGTCACAGATTTGACCAAGCTGCGCTTAGCACTATTTTGATCAAAGTATTCGCCGATGATATTGGATATGTTATGTTAAAGAAGAACACTATCAATGTGAACAAACGCGGGGAAAAGATTAAGTTTTTCCCAGAAGACAAATAACAAACGACGACAAAAATAGTCTGATACCAGAATTTGTAAATAATACCAGAAAATGTAAATAATGTTCCAAATGTGAATATTTATTTACCATTCTAATATAATTTCACAATTATATGAATTTAAAGTCTGCAATGATCTTACACGAGCAGCTACGTTTGTGCAATGTGCAACTTCACAACTTCATAATATGTTTGTGTTATTACCGGTTAAGATCAAACTGTTTTGAATTTCATAGATGACAACATATACAACGTGGCTCATTAATTGATTGATATTCACATCACATTATGTCTGAGTAATGTTAAATAATTATGGTAACCCGGATCTTCGGCGTGACGATTCCGAAAAGAGGGGTTTCGGTTAGCAAACACGTGTCTGTCAAACATTGTAAATATTCCTGTAAATATAGTACATTTATATGTGTCATGTATATAATTTTCACAACAGCCTTGTATATATTTCATTTTCCAAAGAAATGTTATTTTTCTATTTTTGTATCAATGGATTAAAAAATACCCATCATGCTCAACATATCTTGTTATGAGAACCGATGACCCCATGGTAACATGTGGGTGAATGTTCTTTGACGCCGCAGTATTCCAGGTGTAGCATGTTGCATGTCGGCAATGGAGCCTTGACAGGAAAACCAGTGACTTAAAACACGAGCAACGATCCACGATATCAATGTGTCAAGTATCAGGCAAGTCACACACTGATCAACCAATTCTCATCTACGATTGAGACCGCCTCCGTGGTCTAGTGTATACAGCGTCAGCCCGGAGAGCGGAAGGTCGTGGGTTCGATCCCCGGTCGTGTCATACCGAAAGACGTTAAAAGATGGTACTTGTTGTAACCCTGTCTGACGCTCAGCCATGAGGGGCAAAAACAAGGACTGGTCTATAAGAGAAAGAATCTCGAATGCGACGTCATACCATACCAGATTTCACCTCTGCGATCCTCAGTGGGGTGTTTGGAATTTGGGAAGTAACCACCAATACAAGGCTACCTAGCCGCGCCTGAAATAATGCCGTACCCCATGGTGCCAATTATCGTTTGCCCCTTGTGGTGTTTCCAGAGCGATCTGGAGCCAACGATGCCATGGGGAAACAAATACTGTCCGCTTAGCCTCATCAGTTGGGTTTAACGCCGCTTTTAACAGTATTCCAGTTATATCACGGCGTGTCAGCTTAATGTGGGAGGAAAGCCCGGTCTCGGACGTTTACCACTTCGGTGAAACCCACGAGCGGGGTGTGGTGCTCACAAACCTAGAAACATAATCGTGTCGAACCGGGATTCGAACCCACAATTATAGGTTTCTGACTTGCCCAGGGGACGCAACTCTGAACAGAAAAAACGCATGAACGTCAAATTGTGTCGTTCATGCACTTATCAACGACAATTTCGCGGTTATGTGACCGACCTCTCTTCCAATGGAAAAACTCTATATCGTGTAAACTTCACATAATTTTTTTAATTTATAGATATATATATAAATATTTATATTAAATATATTATTATATTAAATATATATTAAATTGTCATTATTCGTTATTCATTAATATTAATATAACCAACATAATCACATCAATGCATCCACTTTTTTTTCTAAATGGTCCTTTATGCTCATCCTATGATATTAGCTCCGAGTTTGGGAACATGTATATTGATGTGTGTGTCGTTCTTTCCAAGCGTGAAAGTCTGTCTCGCCTGGTGAACCTCGTGTCCATTATACAAGACTGTGACGTCATAATCACCATGGAAACCATGGACAGAGAACTGGGTACCCGTGTCAGTCACATTCCGTTCAGCGTGAGTCATCCAGTCGTGTTCCAGTAGGTGTAGAAATCGCTGTCCCGCCGAATTAATCTAGCAAATGAGAAACTAAACATTCATATTTCATTCATATAGCAGTGATTAAAGGGGAAGTGTACACGCAAAAATCACTTTCTTTCTTTTTCTAAACAAAACGCAATTTTAGAATTAGTTAGTATCTGTGTTTGAAAATATACACTCACTTTTTTCACAGTGAAAGTAGGAAGCTCACAATTGTGTGAAAATGATATGCCGTTATGAGGCCTTCGTTTTTCGAGCTAAACAGGCCTGAGTTATCCCCCTTAGATTATGACGTAATTGGTGCCAATTCAACTGGGTCCCTGTCTATTCTGAACGCAAAAGATATCAAGTACCAGTTTTCGGTAAAACAACATGGCCTACGACACACTCCGGCGCAGTGGTGACTCAGCATTACACTATGCTGGCTGGCATCTGAGACGCTAGAATCACACACCTATACCTACACCACGTGAAGCGGCTCTAACAAAGCATGATGACGTCATAATGTTTATCAATTGGCACCAATGACGTCATATTGCAAGGGGCATAAGCCATGGTGTTTTTGTTATGGAAATAGAACACTTGGTAAATGTGAAAAATATAAATCGTTTTAATGCAAAACATATGTTAATTAATTGTGATATTTTTATATTTTTGTCTATGACACTTCTAGGTTAACACTTTTATTGTGGAAAAAGTACAAGAAAATTAGGTTCATTTCCGTGTGAACTTGCCCTTTAAAGTGAATGGTGATGATATTTGCTTAACGTAACAATTAACAGCTGTATGACGCAGTGATTAAAGTGAATGATGATGATATTTGCTTAACGTAACAATTAACAGCTGTATGACGCCAGCCTGGATTTAACTGAAAATAGGCCAGACAAACGACTGATTGATATCATGAGCAATGTCCCATGTTGTCTGGGTACGATGACACACAATCAACCACGTCACCGATCCTGACCACTTTCTCAAATTTAATCGTATCGCCCCCGCGAAGATCCGGGTTGGAAGAGGTCTTCAGCAACTCATGCTTGCCGTAAAAGGCGACTATGCTTGTCGTAAGAGGCGACTAACTGGATCGGATCAAGCTTGCTGTTTTGGTTGATGCATGTCGTATCCCAAATTGTGGGATCGATGCTCATGACATCAACCACTGGATTGTCTGGTCCAGACCCGATTGAAAACAGACCGCCGTCATATAGCTGGAATATTGCTGAGAGTGGCGTTAAACAAACAAATCGCATCGCATTGCATCGCACGACAAACGATATAGAGAGAGATTAGGACCTATTCTAACCCGTGTCCCTCGTTACCCTGGAATGGTTGGTGAATACAACGCAGTTTATGTTGATTGTTGTTTAACACTGCACTCAGCAATATTCCAGCTATATGACGTCAGTCTGTAGATACGCGAATCTGGACCAGACAATCCAGTGATTGACATCATGATCATTGTTCCACGCAATTGGAAAATGATGACATGCATCAACCAAGTCAGTGAGCCTGACCACTCGATCCCGTTCGCCTCTTGCGACAAGCATAGACGCCTTTTACGGTAAGCATGCGCTGCTGAAGATCTTTTCTACCCCGGATCTTTACGGGTCACCAGATTAGAACCCGAACCAGATTTGCACATATCGGACGAGGTGGTTCGCAGGTATGACAGCGTCGTCACAGACACTGCAGCACCTTGCACAACATGGACGACTTTTCCCAACGCTCTTTTCAACAAACAGCAAGCAGTACCTGGCGCTTATGGTAGATACACGAATCGTGAGTTCACACGACCTTGACCGTGCCCTTTTCCTTGTAATCTCTTCATATTGAACATGCCTCACACTGTGGTTCTTGTTATGGTTCTCCACACTACATATTCTGGTTATGCGTTTCTTGTTTAGGAGATGTTTATCTTCGCACAGAACGGGTGCCTATGAGTTAATGGACAAACAGAGGTCTGCATGTCTATGTGAGTGAGTGAGTTTGGTTTTACGCCGCTTTTAGCAATATTCCAGCAATATCACGGCGGGGGACACCAGAAATGGGCTTCACACATTGTACCCATGTCGGGAATCGAACCCGGGTCTTCGGCGTGACGAGCGAACGCTTTAACCACTAGGTTACCCGACCGCCCCTGCATGTCTATGTGTTCCATTGGACACGTACATCTACCATGCCTCAACTACAGACATACGAGTTGATATCATTATCTTTCATAAGACACGAGTGGCCAAGTCCGTTCTTTAATACCAAGGCATACAATGACTTGTTCTCTCATGGGTATGATTTCCCGATTTGGGAGTCATACTTTTTTATGCAAATCGCGAGTGGCGGTAGAGCAGGACATGTTTCCCCTGTGCGCGAACACCTGGTGTCACTGATCATCAGTGATCCATTCATAAACTTTACCACTTTGCGCCCCAAAAAGAGGGCCAGATTTTTGCCGTTTCACACATAACCGAGACTGATCATTCTCATGCGTAGACGGTTAATATTTATATTTTTCTGGCTAAACGACAGAAGTTGATTGGTTCGTGGTAACCCTTACCCTAAAATTGTCTCCACTGACCAATGATGCTGGCTCACCGCGCCATTGTTTCTTGGACCAGAAGCCCCAGATCATGATACCCTCAACAGCCGGGTGGCCGAACATTGACCTCAGAGCGGTCTCGTACCAATCAGCTCGCGTCTTCTCATCCGGGTGATACAAATCCAACTCGGTTATCCAGATTGGAAGTCCGGTTTTAGCCAGCGTATCAAGGTGATTCTGAAAATGTTCAACACCAGTGGGTGAGTTAGCATGATATCGCGATGTCCAACATGAATGAGAGGGTTTGGTCAAATAGCGCTATGAATAGTATTCCAGTTATATCACGGCGTGTCAGCTTGATATGGGAGGCTACTCTAAAGTGACGCAAGTCTTAGACGTTTATCTCTTTAGTGAAACCCGCGAGCACGGTATGGTGCTGACAAACCAGGAAACCTAATCGAGCCTTACTTGGATTCCAACCTACAATCATTGGTTCCTGGCGAGCTAAAGGGATGCAACTCTGCACAGATAATTTGGGTTCACAGAGGAAAAAGTCTGGCATGAGTGAATTCTACTAAGTTAACGAGTAACAGCGTCCAGATGGTTCGTAAACAGCGAATTTACTATCCTGCCTGGGGGGCGGTCGGGTAGCCTAGTGGTTAAAGCGTTCGCTCGTTACGCCGAAGACCCGGGTTCGATTCCCGACATGGGTACAATGTGTGAAGCCCATTTCTGGTGTCCCCCGCCGTGATATTGCTGGAATATTGCTAAAAGCGGCGTAAAATCATACTCACTCACTCACTCACTATCCTGCCTGGTAGAATGCACGAGGCAGCCGTGGAGAGACGGGGTATCCTATGTAGAGGGGAATATCCGAGTAAATCTCCATGTTACATGTTACTATCTATTTAAAGCAATTAGATTAACCTTTGACGAGCAAAAAATCAGGTAAACATATATTTCTTTGTTAAGGTCTCTATATTTCGATTGATAAAATGCTACTTTAGGACCCCAGGATATTATGAACAGCCCTGTACCATGCATTGTAAATATCAGTAGAGCAATAATACATATACTCTTCAAAAATAGAAACGCAAAAGTGATTTCAGATGTATGTTTTATATATTGTATAAAGAATCAACAGATGACACTCGATTGTTCAAAATTGGCACACATCATTGTCATTGACCCAGGTTTCACATGCCAAACATGGAACAGTCGGTGAAGGTCAACTGTTCTCAATATTTTGTATGGCCACCATTAGTCCAAAACTCACTGGCATGGAAGAAATCAGATCCCGAATTATGGCCTGGGGAATGTTCACCCACTCTGCCTGCAGTTCTTGAAGCAACAGTCGGAGGTTTATTAATTGTTGCTGACGTTCTGGCAGTCGTTGATTCAGTGCATCACATACATTTAAGATCTGGGTTTAACTCTGGACACCTGAAAGGCCATGGTAGGACCTGGATGTTGTGATTCCTGAAAAAGGCTGTTGTCAGTCTTGCCATGTGAGATCAGGCGTCGTAATGTTGGAAAATAACGTTCGCTTGGTGCACACTGGGGAAGACGTTTGGACGAAGAATACCATCCACGTAACGTTGTGCAGTTAAATTCCCCAGAACTTGCAACAAGTCTGTTCTACCAGTGTAGGAGATGGCTGCCCACATCATCACACTACCCAGAGCTTGCAACAAGTCTGTTCTACCAGTGAACGAGATGGCTGCCCACATCATCACTACCCAGATCTTGCAACAAGTCTGTTCTACCAGTGAACGAGATGGCTGCCCACATCATCACACTACCCAGAACTTGCAACAAGTCTGTTCTACCAGTGTAGGAGATGGCTGCCCACATCATCACACTACCCAGAGCTTGCAACAAGTCTGTTCTACCAGTGAACGAGATGGCTGCCCACATCATCACTACCCAGATCTTGCAACAAGTCTGTTCTACCAGTGAACGAGATGGCTGCCCACATCATCACACTACCCAGAACTTGCAACAAGTCTGTTCTACCAGTGTAGGAGATGGTTGCCCACATCATCACACTACCGCCAGGCTCTCACGTGGTTGTGTTTTAGCGATTTTTCCATCTTTCCACACAAATCCATCCCAATCCATGCATGTAATGTTTGGTATTAATTTTGTCAGATATTAAACGATTTTTCTACCTTTTTCGTTTTTTTTTAGCAGAGTATATTTAAAGATACAAAACATTATTCTGTAATCCGGAATTTTGATTATAGGCGCGTATCACTGAAAAGGGAGCCGAATTACCGTAGTTCACTATATATCAGACTAGGTGTTTGGAAAACCAATTACTTATGAATGAAATTCAAAAGGACTGTCAGCTATGGCCTCTTTACAAACCGGGGCGGTCGGGTAGCCTAGCGGTTAAAGCGTTCGCTCGTCACGCCGAAAACCCGGGTTCCATTCCCGACATGGATACAATGTGTGAAGCCCATTTCTGGAGTCCCCAGCCGTGATATTGCTGGAATATTGCTAAAAGCGGCGTAAAGCCATACTCACTCACTCTTTACAAACCATGTATATAACTAATATCTAAGTGTGAAAACAACATTGGACCTTTACCTTTATCAAATAAGGATCTGGGGCCGTCATATCCCGGAAGTGAGTCTGTGCGCCGATACCGTAGAGTCCCACATGTGCGTTCTTGAACTCTGTAGCCTGTGCCAGGTACGCCTGCAGAGAAGATCCTCAATCACTAAAGGTCAGAGGGCATTTTATTGAAGAAATAGACGACTCATGGTCGTTCTTTATCGTACAATAAAAAAACTGCAGGGAGAATAAACCACGAATAACGCAGCCCCGAGTGGTTTATTCTTCAAGCAGTGTTTGATTGTACGACAAACAACGATCACGTGTTGTTTACTGCCTTTTTAAGGATGTTAATGAAATGTACACTCTTTAAAATATTTACCAGTATTAAAATAATGATTACACTCTGAATAGAATCAGACCGAAGCAATGTCGGACAAGTACATTTTATGAAGAGAGGTGTCAAGTTTGGTATTTCCCAGATATTCTCACTCTTTTCACGTGATTACCTGTACCTGTTCTCCCTATACCGATCATCATATCTCTTCCACTTTTAGATGCGATCGTTCGAGCATTGCGTTTATCTACGTTGCCAAGCTACATCTATGAGAAACATAGGGAGCCTGACCACCCGATCCCGTTAGTCGCCTCTTACGACAAGCATAGTTGCCTTTTACGGCCAGCATGGGTTGCTGAAGACCTGTCTACCCTATTTGCCCATTGCTATGTCCATTCTTTCACCTATCAGTGCTAATTACCCCCTCACTCCCGTTTGTCGATTAGGTGAGGTGAGGTGAAATTGGATTTAACGTCGCGTCCAAGATTATTGCACTTATATAGCAACGTGCATGCACGTGTGTGGCTGCTTGTACTAGTCCGGACTGATGCTAGCTCACTGAGAGGGCAAGTCCGAATCTCCAGAAATAACGTCTTGATAGAACAATGTTTTATCGTGAAATAAACCACGCTTCCTTCTTCTTTGTTCTTTGATATTTATTGCGTAGCTATCTTATATACTCAAATAATACACACACAGACGTTGATTCAGTGTTACATCTTGAAGGAACAATTACATTGATTATTATCCTCAAAGTTTATATGACCCGTGAAGATCCGGGGTAGAATAGGTCTTCAGCAACTCATGCTTGCCGAAAAAGGCGACAAAGCGTGTCGTTAGAGGCGACTAACGGGATCGGGTGGTCAGGCTCGCTGACTTGGTTGATGCACGTCATCGTATCTCAATTGCGTGGATCGATGCTCATGATATCAATCACTGGATTGTCTGGTCCCGGCTCGATTATTTACCGACCGCCGTCATATAGCTGGAATATTGCTGTGTGTATTTTGGTTTCATTTTGTTTTATTCATTGTGAACGATACCATCTCAGATTTATTATTTATTATACTAGGATCCTTTCAGAGAATCTTCTAAAGGTCTACTTTAGGTGCGACGTTCACAGCCAGGGAAGGCGGTAGTATATCGAGGGAAGGCGGTACTATAGCGCGGGAAGGCGGTACTATAGCGTGGGAAGGCGGTACTATAGCGAGGGAAGGCGGTACTATAGCGTGGGAAGGCGGTACTATAGCGAGGGAATACTATACATTTATTTTTTTACTATGGCAGATATGACCTCCGCTGAAGAAGGTCGGGTTTTCTTTCCATCCTGACCATTATATGATTTGGTACTTCTATGTTCAGGTACGAACAGACAAGAATTCTAATTTGCGGGGCGGGAGTATATAAAAACATATCTTGTATGGTAGTGTTGGCTAAATGTTGCTTGATGTCTCACATTTAGTTACGTTTTCATAAGCAGCATTCACGCCTCGGTTTAGAGAATAAGGATCTCTGACCTGTACATTGGCTCCACGTGCAACCACCTTGTTGTCGTTCAGGAAGAGCTTGACGCCGGGGTCCGCCTGGTGGGCTATCCTGAACAGTTCCAGGTTGTAATCCCTGTCTTGGAGGACCTCCTGGAACCACTGCCCGTGTAGGTTCTCGTTGTTTACATCCCAGTGTTCCACCCTACAAAGCCCAACCCCACACAGTACAAACAGTCTACAAGCAGCAGTATAGTCACCTCCTGGGCACTTGGAATCGAGATGACCCATTGCATCAAGGCAGCATCGAGCAGTATTTCGCATACCTACCGCAAGCACGAAGTAGTATATCTTCCATTACAGACCATCTCTAAGGGTCTATCTACGCGACCGAATGGGATAAATGTTTATGTGTTTGTTTGTTTAGTGTGTAACGTCGCAATATTCCAGCTATATGACCGCCCTCTGCAAATAGTCGACTCTGGGCCAGACAATCCAGTGTATATATTGATATATGTCAATGTAACTGAATGTACTCATAACCTGTATTTTTGTACCGTTTTACAAAGTTTAAAATTAATTGTTCCAGTGAGCTACATATAACCTACGCTGTAGAAAATACTTACAATCCGTGTGTCCTCTTCATCGCCTCGTCTATTCTGTGAATGACAGCCCGTCTTAAATCATCACCCCTGAGAGTTCGAACCCAGGTCGGTAAAAAGGTTTCCGATGACCACACGAGGCAGTGACCTCTGACCTTTATCCTACACAGAAATCTGTGTTATGAGAGATGTGTGCGCCTTTGAGAACAGTTCAGCAATATCGTTATCGGTGATACCGACAATGAAGTGTTTAACAAATAATTTGTGTGCTGGCGATTAGGTGCCTCACACTGAGAGTGTGGTTCGAATCCCGGTTGGGACTCAGGTGAAATTGGGTTTAACATCGCGTCCAAGATTAGTGTACCTTTATAGCAACGTGCATGCACGTGCACGTGCACGCGTGTGTGTGTGTGTGTGTGTGCGTGCGTGCGTGCGTGCGTGCGTGCGTGCGTGCGTGCGTGCGTGCGTGTGTGAGTGTGTGTGTGTGTGTGTGTGCTTGTACTAGTCCGGACTGATGCCGATTTATAGAGCTAGCTCACTGAGATACCATGCCGGAGTTTAACATGAATGCCCCACTCACACACAGTATACTGACTCCGAGCCGACCAGTCCTTGTTTTAGCCCCAGAGCGCCAGACAGGGTAACAACAAATACCACCTTTTAACGTCTTTTGGTATGACGCGGCCGGGGATCGAACCCCCGACCTTCCGCTCTCCGGGCGGACGCTCTACCACTAGACCACGGAGGCGGTCAGAACGAACTTGGCCTCGTGTACAGTGATATGGAATTGGGTTGTTTCACTAGTCAAAGTAGGCACTTGCCACAGGGCCACCAGTTGATCAACGTACTGAGGTTGATCATGTTCAAACCATGTGTTACACTGATCTGCCAGTACAAATTCAAGCTTACAGGATGACAGGTTCATGCCATAGCAATTTACATATTAATGTTCAATTTACGTAATACAGATTGTGACACTTACAATTTCATTTCTCCTTGATACAAATTCGTGAGAGATACGTAAACACGCTCTTGTCCGACTATATTAAACAGCCTTACAAGCTACTGGAAATTTCTACACAATGCCCTCACCAGAACATTAAAGTGGTTTCCATAACATACTATACCGGACCGGAATTTTACACACCACACCAGTAACTAAATACAGTAACTTCCCGACGATACAATGCAACGAACGTCTACCGAATCCAAACAGAAACAATGCAACACAGCTACAGTCACTGTTAAACAATAAAATACATCGCCATATAACAAATCCCAGATTCGCATTGATTATGTGTCCAGGTTTGTCAGCACCATACCAACGCTCGTTGGTTTCACTTCGAGTTTCCCACACGAAGCTGTGACGCCGTGGATAAGCTAAAGTACTGTTCAAAGCTGTGTTAAACTTACTAACACAGTGTCATTTCAACATAAAATGTCTGGTGAGATTAAATCCTACCCATGCGATCGAAGTTCCTTTATCGTGTCCACAGCACTGTCATAAAAGGACGTGTTCTGTAAGGAAGAAAGAGCAACGTTGGGCAGGTATGGTGCTGACAAACCAAGAAACAAGATCAGGGCGAATCTGACTTTCTATCCTATTCAAATAAATTAGATTGTTACATCTGCGTTTGCATTTTAATAAATATGAAGATAAGTGAAAACAATGTTGCTAATGAAAATATACGTGACATTTGTGTTGTTTCATAGGCTAAGCACAGTGCACTTAACAAGGTAAAGCACCTACCGCCCGAGGTGCATTTGCCTTCCATTTCAGGTTATTCTCAAGCACTGCCCAGTTGAAATGCTTGTTGATGAAGTCGTTGTAACGAGGTTCGGTGCCGTGCAGGTACAGGTTGGAGTTTACAGCAGTACCAAACGGAAAGCCATGCTTCAGCTGATCTATCTAGCCGTTGTAATAAAATAAAATAAATGACATGTTATTTGTTGGCAAATTGAAAAAAATATTGACCAAAAGCAAACGGACACCAACAGGTAATTTTGGTAGGCGACATCACAAACTTCAGATCAGTGTTCACCCTGTCTCCACTACAATAAGCTGTCTTTGGATATAGAAATCAGACGATTATGGCAACAATGGACGAGAACAGTATCCGACGCGATGGAAAATTCTTAAACCATGGATATCTTTGTCTTCTTCCTTTGTCATGGATCCTTGTTGATAGCACGAACAACGATGCACGTCGCCAAAATACAATAATACACATCTGATCAAACGTTGAAATCATCCGTTATATTTAATTACTGGTGAGCATTTGTGAGGCATTTATAGTTAAAACGTATATATCTCACCTTTATTGTAACTTTTTGAGGATCAAGACCGTTTTCCAGAGTTATGCTGAAGATATAACATCAACACACGTGTTTGATAAAATGATAAACTCGTAGTATGTACTTCGTGTCATTTGACACACGAATGTACAACGTTATTGTTATGGGTGTAATTGGACTACAATATACATATTGCTTTGTATTTTTCGTATGTTGGTTAATGCCGTACTCAGCGAAAATCTAGCTACATGACAGCGAATGAAGATATCCTTGACCAGATAAACCAGTGATTGATATTATGAGCCACGTTCCACACCGTCCGGCTTTGATGACACACAATCATCCTAGCCTGACAACCGATCCACTTGTCGCATTGTAAAGCATGGGCTGGTGTGGTCCTATTCAGGATTTAAATAAAAGCGACACAAACCATTTCCACAACCTTAATAAATCTCTACTAAAAGCGGGGCGGTCGGGTGGCCTAGTGGTTAAAGCGTTCGCTCGTCACGCCGAAGACCCGGGTTCGATTCCCGACATGGGTACAATGTGTGAAGCCTAATTCTGGTGTCCCCCGCCCTGATATTGCTGGAACATTGCTAAAAGCGGCGTAAAACCATATTCACTCACTCACTCTACTATAAGCAGAGTCCATTGAACGATCCCGACTATTATGAAAAACTATCAAATAGTGATGATACCAGGTTTCGCGAAAAGTGAGATAGCCAGCCTGTTCCCGTAGAAACACATGCAAAGGCAAGTCAATTATTTACTTGAAAATAAAACCCAACGGAACATAAGGTACAAGGGAATGAAGCAACTTTTGAGCAAGCGTCGTATGCCGTTCTTTGAAGTCTTCGAAGAAAGAGCACGCTCGATTGTACCTCAAAAGTTGTGAAATGTAGACAGACTTCTTCAGACTGGAGTTCTTTGACACAAAGGGACAGTTGACTATTGGGAGCAACTGTAGACAAATGACATACCTCAGGTGTATGTTAGACTTTCTGACCGCCTGTATGACGCGGTAGGTTCCGTCCTTCCAATGTGGGTCTAAAGGAGGAAGTTCCGTCACCGTCGCGCTGTCAACCAGATAGTCAACCGACGGGTGTGGCCCGAATATTTTCACTCTTGACAACTGAATATCTAAAGGAGATGATAAGGAAGAGAAACACAATGTTTCGTAGTGTAGGCTTACGCCTTCATCAGGTGAATGAATGCCATGAGCCAGTGAGCAGAGTACTTAACTATCAGCGCTAATTACTGTAAAGTGTTGGCTTCCATTGTCTATGCTAATCACCTATCAGCGCCAATTATATACATCTGTTGGCTTCACTTGTTAAGTTTCCACCTTTTGTTATCTTATTACTTTTGTTGTTCTTTCATGTACATATATATGCTCTCTACCTCATGGCATTCATTCACTTGATGAAGGAGTAAATATATACTCCGAAACGTTGTGTTCCTAATAATAAAGAAGTTGACATACATAAATTCTCTTCCTTATGTGTATCACTTCTAAATTCCTTTCAAAGACTTAAAGGAGATGATGTATATTACGTTTGACATTCGACAGTGAATCAATACTCACACTTCACAAGTGAACTGTTGATTCAATATTAGGTCAAAGTCTGTACCTTAGTATTTGGTGACTCGAAACTATACTGAATTTATAATAAACGTTATTCAACAGTAAATATCAAATACATTTAATTTCAAACATTGCGAACACATTCTTTTCAAACGTGTGGAACACCTAATTCACTAGGGTCATTTCAAACGTGTGGAACACCTAATTCACGGGGTCATTTCAAACGTGTCGAACACCTACTTTACTGGGGTCATATGAAACGTGTCGAACACCTAATTCACTAGGATGTTTTCAAACGTGTGGAACACCTAATTCACCAGGGTCATTTCAAACGTGTGGAACACCTAATTCACGGGGTCATTTCAAACGTGTCGAACACCTACTTTACTGGGGTCATATGAAACGTGTCGAACACCTAATTCACTAGGATGTTTTCAAACGTGTGGAACACCTAATTCACTAGGGTCATTTCAAACGTGTGGAACACCTAATTCACGGGGTCATTTCAAACGTGTCGAACACCTACTTTACTGGGGTCATATGAAAAGTGTCGAACACCTAATTCACTAGGGTCATATGAAACGTGTCGAACACCTAATTCACTAGGATGTTTTCAAACGTGTGGAACACCTAATTCACTAGGGTCATTTCAAACGTGTGGAACACCTAATTCACTAGGGTCATTTCAAACGTGTGGAACACACCTAATTCACTAGGGTCATTTAAAACGTGTGGAATACCTAATTCACAAGGATGTTTTCAAACATGTGGAACACCTAATTCACTAGGATGTTTTCAAACGTGTGGAACACCTAATTCACTAGGGTCATTTCAAACGTGTGGAACACCTAATTCACTAGGGTCATTTCAAACGTGTGGAACACCTAATTCACTAGGGTCATTTAAAACGTGTGGAATACCTAATTCACAAGGATGTTTTCAAACATGCGGAACACCTAATTCACTAGGATGTTTTCAAACGTGTGGAACACCTAATTCATTAGGGTCATTTCAAACGTGTGGAACACCTAATTCACTAGGGTCATTTCAAACATGTGGAACACCTAATTCCTTAGGGTCATTTCAAACGTGTGGAACACCTAATTCACTAGGATGTTTTCAAACGTGTGGAACACCTAATTCACTAGGGTCATTTCAAACATGTGGAACACCTAATTCACAAGGGTCATTTCAAACATGTGGAACACCTAATTCACTAGGGTCATTTAAAACGTGTGGAATACCTAATTCACAAGGATGTTTTCAAACATGTGGAACACCTTATTCACTAGGATGTTTTCAAACGTGTGGAACACCTAATTCACTAGGGTCATTTCAAACGTGTGGAACACCTAATTCACTAGGGTCATTTCAAACGTGTGGAACACCTAATTTACTAGGGTCATTTAAAACGTGTGGAATACCTAATTCACAAGGATGTTTTCAAACATGCGGAACACCTAATTCACTAGGATGTTTTCAAACGTGTGGAACACCTAATTCACTAGGGTCATTTCAAACGTGTGGAACACCTAATTCACTAGGGTCATTTCAAACATGTGGAACACCTAATTCCTTAGGGTCATTTCAAACGTGTGGAACACCTAATTCACTAGGATGTTTTCAAACGTGTGGAACACCTAATTCACTAGGGTCATTTCAAACATGTGGAACACCTAATTCACAAGGGTCATTTCAAACATGTGGAACACCTAATTCCTTAGGGTCATTTCAAACATGTGGAACACCTAATTCCTTAGGGTCATTTCAAACATGTGGAACACCTAATTCCTTAGGGTCATTTCAAACATGTGGAACACCTTATTCACTAGGGTCATTTCAAACGTGTGGAACACCTAATTCACTAGGGTCATTTCAAACATGTGGAACACCTAATTCACTAGGGTCATTTCAAACGTGTGAAACACCTAATTCACTAGGGTAATTTTAAACATGTGGAACACCTAATTCACTAGGGTCATTTTAAACATGTGGAACACCTTATTCACTAGGATGTTTTCAAACGTGTGGAACACCTAATCCACTAGGGTCATTTCAAACGTGTGGAACACCTAATTCACTAGGGTCATTTCAAACATGTGGAACACCTAATTCCTTAGGGTCATTTCAAACGTGTGGAACACCTTATTCACTAGGGTCATTTTAAACATGTGGAACACCTAATTCACTAGGGTCATTTTAAACATGTGGAACACCTTATTCACTAGGATGTTTTCAAACGTGTGGAACACCTAATTCACTAAGGTCATTTCAAACGTGTGGAACACCTAATTCACTAGGGTCATTTCAAACATGTGGAACACCTAATTCACTAGGGTCATTTCAAACGCGTGGAACACCTAATTCACTAGGGTCATTTCAAACGTGTGGAACACCTTATTCACTAGGGTCATTTCAAACGCGTGGAACACCTAATTCCTTAGGGTCATTTCAAACATGTGGAACACCTAGTTCACTCCACAATGGTCCATATAAATAACTGGGCAAACCAGTGATTTGCTGGGGAAGGAAGACGCACGCTGAACCCAGACACAGAGCCTGATCACCCACTACCCAATTTAGTAGGTTTCAATGAAATGTATAAGGTACTGGGGACTTTCTGACCCGGAACACAATTTAAATATGCCACGACACATAGGGCAATGCACAAAGTAGGCCAGGACACACAGGGCATATCACCTTGAACGGCCATGACACCAAGTAGGCCAGGACACTTTGGACATATTATCAAGTAGGCCATGACACCAAGTAGGCCAGGACGCTTTGGACATATTATCAAGTAGGCCAGGACACCAAGTAGGCCAGGACACTTTGGACATATTATCAATTAGGCCATGACACCAAGTAGGCCAGGACACAGAGGACATATTATCAATTAGGCCATGGCACCAAGTAGACCAGGACACAGAGGACATATCACCAAGTAGGCACATACGTAAAAAACAACAATGTAGGCCGTGAAATATAGGACATATTACCAAGTAGGCACATATATACGACAAATATAACCAACGGTCCAAAGCAGTTAGCACACATTGGATATAACAACCTAATAGGTCATAGTACATGGGTTATAACAAGCAAGTAGGTCATAACATATGGGTTAAACAAGCAAGTAGGTCATAATATGGGTTTAGACAAGAAAGTAGGTCATACCACGTGGGTTATACAAGCAAGTAGGGCATAATGCGTGGGTTATACAAGCAAATATGTCATAACATGGGTTATACAAGCAAATAGGTCATAACACATTGGTAATACAAGCAGTTAACACATTGGTAATACAAGCAAGTAGGCCATAACACATGGGTTATACAAGCAAGTAGGTCATTACACATGGGTTATACAAGCAAGTAGGCCTTAACAAATGGGTTATACAAGCAAGTAGGTCATAACGCATGGGTTATACAAGCAAGTAGGTTATAACGCATGGGTTATACAAGCAAGTAGGTCATAACACAAGGGTAATACAAGCAAGTAGGTCATTACACATGGGTTATACAAGCAAGTAGGTCATAACACATGGGTTATACAAGCAAGTAGGTCATAACACATGGGTTATACAAGCAAGTAGGTCATAACACACTGTTCATAATAACCAAGTAGGTCATGACCCATAATTTGTAACATCTAACTAGGTCATAACACACGGATAATAACAACCAAATAGATCACAACGTATTACTAACTAGGTACCAACAAACACATAAACGTATCAACTTCATCCTTCCGAACACGAGGATGCCCTTTAAAAATTGTTGCATATATCTACAGTTAACCAACCTTTTTCTGGAACAACAAAGTCTCCGACAAGATGAACCCAACCATCTGATGCCCTTACTAGAGGCATGTGGGCCATGGGTAGGTACATGTCGGAAGTCTTGTCTGTAAGTAAACTACTGCAATGTAGCATACAATACCACATATATTACCCGAGTTAATGAGTGAATAGTCACTTGTTACGCTCTATAAACTAGAGGCAAAGTGGCCCACTCGTCTAAGAAGCAGCAAATCACCTAGAAACTTTGCTTGTTTTTGGCGTGCTAGAAACTGATTGTCGTGGGTTTGAATACCAAATTCGCACTGATTATTATCTAGGTTTGTCAGCACTGTTATGGTACGTGGTAAACATCTGAGACCTGCATCACTTCGGGTCCTTCACCCACATCAAGCCGACAGGCAGTTATAAAACTGCAATGCTGCCCAAAACGGCGTAAAACAAAACTCACTCTTACACATTAAAATCGTGTCCAGGTTCAAACAGAGAATCAGACACTGCAAACGCGTTATTCACAGATACACATCACCAAAATACGACGTCAGATTTTCTCTGACTTGTGTTATTCAAATGCGGTTTTTTAGCTAACATTATTTTTTCTAACCATTCCAAATTAAAAACACCAATAACCTTTGAAAACAAACTGAATATTGAACATGGCTGATTGTCCCAGCACATGAGCTTCGTCGTTCATGAGTTTCACATAGACGCTTGCGGTGTAACGTCCACCTCGCTTGACCGTGGTCAGATCCTGCGCTGGACCTTCGGTGTCGTGGTGTCTGAAACGCACACGGATAATCTGTGATCATAACTTGCATCATGTGCAGGATGTGTAAAGGTACCGATAATCGCTATGTTGTAGTATTATCATCATCTGCATCGATGCTACATGGAAAACAAGCATATTTTAATTTGAAACTTGTTTAAGTTTAAAATGTGAAAATCTTATGCTAGCCGTGGTCATAACTGGTCAGGGGCGACTAAACTGGATCGGGCTCAGTGAAGGTATGAGCTGTTGATTACGTTTCTTGTCACTGATTTGTCTTGTTCTGACTTGAATATTTACAGATTGCAGATAGGTTACTGTGGACCATTGTGAACCCGCATCCTCAAGGGGCCAGATTCGATTATTCACACGCCGACGGCATATAGCTGGAATATGTTGACGTCAAACAACAAAAACAAACATGGAAATATTTCGTCACAATACTTTATCAAAAGTTATTAACACAGTTAACTTGGTCTTCAGCTTGCCGTAAAAGGCGACTATGCTTGTCGTAAGAGGCGACAAACGGTATCAGGTGGTCAGACTCGCTGACTTGGTTGATGCATGTCATCGTATCCCAATTGCGTGGATCGATGTCCATGATGCCAATCACTGGGTTATTTGGGCCAGACTCGATTATTCACAGACGGTCGTCTTATACGTGGAATATTACTGAGCGCGGCGTTAAACCACAAAAACAATTGCAGATTATCTCACCTTTGTGACACACGCAAGGAGTGTTGTCCTGCGACACTATCAGGAGACAGTGTACAGTGGATATGCGTGCAATGCCAGTGTGAGGAATCTTCGAATCCGCCATTTGTCAGAAGCTCCTTTGTTGAGACGGGGAAGACCAGCAACAACACGCCCAGTAGTGCTGTGTACATGAATACCTTGTATTAACGTCACCCAACTTCGGCACCCTTGTTGGCATACACCTTATCTAAAGAGTGGATGATAAGATCAAATGTAAGTCAGGGTCGAATTCTGTAATGGCTGCTCTCAGTGTTTAGTGTACACGTGTACCTCAAACGTTGTAAAATGTGGACATCAAATGTTGGAGCTGCTGGAATATTGCTCGACATGAAGGGAAAACTGACTTTTGTAAAGGTGAAGCCACCTCCCTTGTAATACAGTCTTGTGGAAAGTGTTTTGTCTTTATGCATAGATCTAAATAAGAAACGGATGTGGCGGTTTTATTGTTCTCTTTCATTTCTAGGTCAGTTGGGTCACATCAGTGAAAGGGAACTGGATGTTTGATCATTACTGAACGAAAACAGACCATCATCTGAAGCTAAAGTCAAACTTCTTGGACGAGTTCCTTTGTTTTGATTTGTGCCTATCCCAGAAGAAATATAAATTTAATAGCATAAAGAAACAGATCAGCCTTGGTTGGGGATCGCTTCTGCTTGCTTAAATGAATTATCCCCAAATGTCACATAGATGTTATCAATGAGGAACTCCAGAAGATAGAAACAAATCTCTTTATTGATATATTCAATACATTATTTGCACAAAGTAAGCATAAAGTTACTCATTTAACACAATTTAATGTGATATCTCTACTTATCAATATTTAACAAGCAACCGATGTGAACAAAAGATTTTATCTGGATCCTGACCTTGAAACCCTAAAGAATGGCAAATATACGGCTTTAACAGGAAATAGAGGTCATGGATAAAACTTTCAAGTATTTTGATGTTTACGCTTATCATTTGAGAAAAAAAGACACTTATATAAGAATCAACAGAGACAAAAACATCTTCTGGAAAATATTAAAGGAAGGTAAACAAGTTAACTTATCGGTTGGAGTCAGCAAACAAAATTGAGCAGACAATTTTTCTTCTGTTTCGTTCAGTAGAGCTGTGCATCCTTTATCTAATGTCACTTCTGAAGTGTCACGACCGCCTCCGTGGACGTTAAAAGATGGTACTTGTTGTTACCCTGTCTGGCGCTCAGCATTAAGGGGCTAAAACAAGGACTGGTCGGCTCGGAGTCAGTATAGTGTGTCTGAGTGGGGTATTCATGTTAAACTGCGGCATGGTATCTCAGTGAGCTAGCACTATAAATCGGCATCAGTCCGGACTAGTACAAGCAGACACACACACACACACACACACACACACACACACACACACACACACACACACACACACACACACACACACACACACACACACACACACAAACACACACAAACACACTAAATGTCTCACCATACATACTTTTGCGTCTCTTAAAAAAATATTTGAAAGCAGTGATTTTCCACATTAAACGTATTATTTGTCCACTTTTTAAAATCTGGTCTTAAGAGTGAGTGAGTGAGTATGGTTTTACGCCGCTTTTAGCAATATTCCAGCCATATCACGGCGGGGAACACCAGGGTATTAAGAAGGATACGATCAACTACAGAGGCATATCCCTCATTGACACTATATGTTGATTATGTACTTCTATTCTTTACCCGAGACTGCAATTCTGTTAAGATGACAATGTTACTGATGAGATACGGGCTGGATTCGGCCCAACTGTTGCACTACCCAAGATTTGTTGTTTAAAAGGACGACTCTTCTGCCTTTTGTTGTGGAATTTGATTCTGTTAGACATGATATTTTGCTTGCAAGCCTGAAAGATGTTGGAATTATTGGCAGGTTTTATAATATACTTTCATCAATGTACTCAAACTTAAGTGCCTGTGTGAAGAATTCAAATGGTTTAACGATCTTTTTTCTTGCAACATTGGCACGCGGCAAGCATGTTTTATTTTTCAACAATTATTCCTTATATTCGTAGATAAACTATTACAGCTAAAGGATGTTTTATGGAGGAGAAGGAGTTTTTATTGCAAATGATTTTTAAGATGACTTTTCCTGAAGATGTCTTCTTTGTGTCAGACACCCCTCCCCAACTACAAACGAAAATATATGCTTTGGAAGCTTTTTGCTCCAATACTGGTATGAAAGTAAATTTGACTAAGGTTATTATATTTAGAAATGCAGGCCCCTTTCAAAGCTATAAAAATGTACATACAGTGGTGAAAATATTGATGTTGTTTCATTCTATAGATATCTTGACATAAAGTTTACACCTAAATTGATTTGGACACAGGCCCAAACTAGTCTAGCTGCTCAGAGCACTAAAGCTGTGAATGCCATTAGCAGATATCAGAGGACAGTTTGTAATATGCCATGTAAAGATCTATTGCTTTTTAATAATTTTATCACTATCCCTATCATAAAAATGTGTAAATCGTTTCTTAAAGTTGATAAAAACTCATTTAATATTATGGAGAATGTGGTCGTGCACCTCTGCAATTAACTTACATGATAAGTGCTGTGAAATACTGGTTTCGATTGACACCATAGCCCGGATAGACTTCCATGCAAGGGTCACAAGGTGTCAACTGCTCTGGTTGATACTTGACGGACCACCTGGGCCACCCACTTTAAGAATATTCTATTTAACTTTAGATTTGGAGTTGTATAGATATCCCAGGTTCACATCTTTGTTCAAACACAGACTTTTTGACAACCTATAACAATACAAATCCCTTTTAAATATGAAAGGTATTTATATGTTTATGCCTGTTCATCTGAGAAGAATTTTATCGCACTTGAAATGCAGCAACTTCAATCTGGATTTAAATGCTGGAAGATACAATGACATACCCTATGAAGAAATATTTTGTTCAGGTTGCCTCCTTTAAGAACCATACTACATTGGAAATGAATTTCACATTTTCACAAAATCACATAATACTTTGCTAGCATAGGAAATTATATGACATCCACATCTATGCATTGTTTTAGAGAAAAAAATTAAATATTGCTTAACACCAGTATATACCTCCTTAAAGAACAGCAACATATAAATCATTGCTAACATATTCACATTGTGTATACGTATATCTGGGCAGCAGCTGCTGTATGTATTAACCCTAATATAAAAATAAATGATAACTTCCACACCACTGCTTGCATTTGATAGTCGATTCTTAACTAGATTAACTAATTATTGTTAAAACATAAGTTATGAATCTTTAACTGAATTTTAATATTAATTACACTGCCATACACGTATGACGTCACAATATTTAATTTCCAGCATAAATTATCCAATGCACATATCATTCCGCTATGCAAAGCACACGATGTGCTGATGTGAAATTGAACAACAGTAGCTATGATGGCTGAGTGGGGCCATCGCTAAGTCGTCGATAGATTTCCTAATGATCAGGGGACAAAGTACTAGTACGATACGATATTGAAATTCAGCCACAAACGAAATAGCAACGACAATGCCATACATATGACACATGACGATAAAGCGACTGACGAATCAGACCGAATAAAAACTCACCCAATCCTACCAGTCTATGGAAAAACTATATGGACGTGATCTAGAAACATATATATACTATAAACCGACAGCTATTAAGCAGTATCTACATTTTTCATCTAGTCACCCGAGTTATTCAAAAAGAAGCATTCCATATAATTTAGCAAGGCGTATCTGCATGATTGTGTCAAATACATCTAGAAGTTACAAACGACGTGCTGAGCTAAAATCATATCTATAATCCATTGCATACCCGATTCTACTTGTGGAAAGTGGGATAAAGAAAGCAACAGAGACAGAAAGACACAACTGAAAGTGCGTGGTAAGTAAATTAATAACACTATCAATCTAGCCTATGTATCTACGCACAATCCAAAGAACTGTTTCACAGCATTAAACAAGCCATCCCCTGTGTTGGCCACACCAATGCAGTCGTTGTTGACTGTTGACGATGTTGTCGACTCAATATGACACGTCGAACAGGACGTCTTGCATGTAGACCTGCTGCTCTTAAACGGTTTCGTCTTGTCGGAAGTTCTGCGCAGACCGGGTATATGGGATGCGGTTGAGGTGGCTGTTGTCGTCCTTTCATGTAGGTAGCGCAGTCGGATGTAGCGATCTTTGGCTGGGGTGATCACACTTGGTTGTCCGGACCCTGGCCGATCACGTGTTGACCCACGCTGTTGAAACCGATCCCATGGCCTTGTGATGGTGCTAGGCGCAACATTGAAAACCCTGGCTACAGCTGATCGGGATTCCCCTGCCTCCAAACGGCCTTTGACGTTGTTTCTTTGCACTTGTTTTAATCTTGGCATGTTGTTGAACTGTCACGGTTCGATTGACGCAGATGCCAGGCAACGAAAAAACCTGCGCTTTAATAACGTTTATAGTGCTGCTGCACGTGCAGTGCAGCTCCATGGCCCTTTTGTTAATGCACTGGTTCGTTTTTCCGAATCGTACGTGTTTCCTGACCATTGGTTTACATGTCCTTTTTGTGATCATTTGATACCGGGAATAAGTCACTCTTTATCCTACATTTAGCAATGATAATGTACAAAATCAACTTTAAAAAATATTCTTGAAAGCTACCAGACCGCAGTGATCACGTGTCCCATATGAAGTAATTACACGAAAAATGACACTGTCAAGGTCGCGACAGCTCAGTAACTCGTGTCTCCACGGTTAGCCTATAGTACTACCCAAGTTATTGACAAAGAATACGGGTCACACGTTGGGGAATGTTAGCCCTCTCGCCCTGTAGTGCTAAATCGTGTATGTTTCTGTGGTTCAGGATGACGTTGTTGTACATCTCGTCCCATACTGAACCTCAAACAGATTGACATTCTGGGCTGATTTTTATGAAATAAGTGTTGAGTCACAACCAGGTTTTAGGCAAGGGTGTAGCACTATTGATAACATGTTCATCCTCCAAGCCATGATTCGGCGATATTTATAAGAAAAGACACGTCAGCTTTGTGCCATATTCGTTGATGTCAGAGAGGCGCTTGATCTTGTTGACTCATCCAAGCTACGGTTTGTACTGAAACATAGAGGCATTTCGCCGAAAATGCTTAATGCTCTCACATTCATCTGTAAGTTTGTAAAGGGTCGACTACGCGAATACAATAATCTGTCACAAGATGTTGAATGTCCCTTCGGTGTAAGACAAGGATGTGTATTAAATCCACTATTATTTTCCATGTTTATAAAGGACAAGGGATACAAATGCATCCGGATATCATACAACTATTTCTATTATTATTTGCAGATGACATAATGGTGGTATACTATCCAAACATGGAAAATGGTATTTGTATGGCACTCAGCTTAAAACTGTTCCATTCTATAAATATATTTGGGTGTTGTTTTCTCGAGATCCTTGTCATGGTCTCAACACTTTGGTAATGCTGCTGTATTCGCGAAGGAGATTTTTCGTGGTGTTTTCAAATCCTTGTTTATGATTAAGCTACTCCCATATGATGCCATCAAAATAAGTCCCATCTTACTTTATCGTTCTGAAATAAGGGGACAGGATATTCACAAAGAAATCGAAACAATACAAATGTTTGTTCGTAAACGCTTCTTATGATTTAAAACATCGTCCACAAACCATGTGGTTAGAGGTGAATGTGGTCGATATCCTATGCATATATTGACATATAAAAGGGCTGTGAAATACCGGCGTAAAATAATTAATATGCCTGACACCAGATATGTAAAGGAATGTTTCAACTTATAAGTTAAGGTTGTGTGAATTGAAAGATTCACTGGGCTTACGAAAATAAAGATATTTTATCAAGGTTTGATTTCGGATATATCTGACAAGGAGATGTTGATAATTTATCTTCTTTCATATCTGACTTTGTATATAGACTGAAATCATCCTACGGGCAAGATTGGCATGCGGTCCTTTATTCCAGTTTTAAATTGGCAACCAACACTTCTTTCAAAATATCATTATATATTAAATAAAAACCCATTTCAAAATTCCGTGCTGCATTGGTTCAATTAAGATGTTCTTCACACCAAGTATACATTGAAACGCAGATAGACTATGTTATGTATGGAAACAAAGTTACAGAGAGGATGACTACCATTTTATACTTATGTGTTATGTTTCGGACAATCTCAGGCGTGTGTATATACCACCAAAATATAACTGATATCATACATTACATAAAATCAACCAGAAACAGTTAAAAATCTTGCATCCTTTGTATCAGACAATCATTTGGGTGAACAATGTCTATCAATGTACCAATGTATATATGCTGTTACTCTCTCAAGCAAGGATGCAACTGTAGAAAGGGCCCATGGCCTCCTCTACTTTATGAATAAAGATTGACTCGTGCTATCACCTTCTTGGCTCATGCTATACGCTTCTCTTCTCGTGCTAACGGCTTCTCTTCTCGTGCTATCACCTTCTTGGCTCATGCTATTGCCTTCTCGGCTCATGCTATCGGCTTCCCGTCTCGTGCTATCGCCTTCTCGTCTCATACTATCACCTTCTCGGATCTGCTATCGGCTTCTCTTCTCGTGCTATCGCCTTCTCGTCTCATACTATCACCCTTCTCGGCTCATGCTATCGCCTTCTCGTCTCGTGCTATCGCCTTCTCGTCTCGTGCTATCGCCTTCTCGTCTCGTGCTATCGCCTTCTCGTCTCGTGCTATTGCCTTCTCGGCTCATGCTATCGGCTTCTCGTCTCGTGCTATCGGCTTCTCGTCTCGTGCTATCGGCTTCTCGTCTCGTGCTATCGGCATCTCGTCTCGTGCTATCGGCTTCTCGTCTCGTGCTATCGCCTTCTCGTCTCATGCTATCGCCTTCTCGACTCATGCTATCGGCTTCTCTTCTCGTGCTATCGCCTTCTCGTCTCATACTATCGGCTTCTCGTCTCGTGCTATTGGCTTCTCGGCTCATGATATCGCCTTCTCGTCTCATACTATCACCTTCTCGGATCCTGCTATCGGCTTCTCTTCTCGTGCTATCGCCTTCTCGTCTCATACTATCACCCTTCTCGGCTCATGCTATCGCCTTCTCGTCTCGTGCTATCGCCTTCTCGTCTCGTGCTATCGCCTTCTCGTCTCGTGCTATCGCCTTCTCGTCTCGTGCTATTGCCTTCTCGGCTCATGCTATCGGCTTCTCGTCTCGTGCTATCGGCTTCTCGTCTCGTGCTATCGGCTTCTCGTCTCGTGCTATCGGCATCTCGTCTCATGCTATCGGCTTCTCGGATCCTGCTATCGGCTTCTCGTCTCGTGCTATCGCCTTCTCGTCTCATACTATCGGCTTCTCGTCTCGTGCCATTGCCTTCTCGGCTCATGCTATCGGCTTCTCGTCTCGTGCTATCGCCTTCTCGTCTCGTGCTATCGCCTTCTCGTCTCGTGCTATCGGCTTCTCGGCTCATGCTATCGGCTTCTCGTCTCGTGCTATCGGCTTCTCGTCTCGTGCTATTGGCTTCTCGGCTCATGATATCGGCTTCTCGTCTCGTGCTATCGGCATCTCGTCTCGTGCTATCGGCTTCTCGTCTCGTGCTATCGGCTTCTCGTCTCGTGCTATCGGCATCTCGTCTCGTGCTATCGGCTTCTCGTCTCGTGCTATCGGCTTCTCGTCTCGTGCTATCGCCTTCTCGTCTCATGCTATCGGCTTCTCGGATCCTGCTATCGGCTTCTCGTCTCGTGCTATCGCCTTCTCGTCCCATGCTATCGGCTTCTCGGATCCTGCTATCGGCTTCTCGTCTCGTGCTATCGCCTTCTCGTCTCATACTATCGGCTTCTCGTCTCGTGCTATTGGCTTCTCGGCTCATGATATCGGCTTCTCGTCTCGTGCTATCGCCTTCTCGGCTCTTGCTTTCGGCTTCTCGTCTCATGCTATCGGCTTCTCGTATCGTGCTATCGGCTTCTCGGCTCATGTTATCGCCTTCTCGTCTTGTGATCGCGTTATCGCGATTTCAAGACCGATATTGTAGTCGATAAAGCGATGTCCCTTCTCGGCTACCATAGTTTTCTTATATTAATTGTAACAGGTTGTTAGAATATGGAATATTATTAAATGTATCAATTGACAGAGATTAAAGGAAACCTAAATAATTAATTAAACATGATGCAAGAATACACAAAATGATTAAAAGTATCACATTACAGAGTTTTTAGGTGCCTGAATACAAGAGACGACGTCATCTGGCTTTACTATATGAGTCGAGAAGTTGTCTTTGGCCCAACACTTGAGTGCGTTGGAGATCTCATGCTGAGTACGAAACATACTTCAGACGTCGAATCACAAAGTGAGTAAAATCGTATTTTTACTATATGTATAGTTTCACGATTGCTCTTCGTCTTCGTCCGGAGGACGTATTTAGTAATGTCGCAGATGCTCGTGTGTTCTACTGCCTACTTCTACTTCTCTACCGGAGATAAGACGTCCTCTTTGTGGCCACATTTGTTTGATGCTCTTTTCTACTGTTACTGTTCAACAAATGTCGTGTGGACCCAGTAACCAACGTCAGCTGGAAGCACCACCCAGGGGCAACCATTCGCTATGTGTGTTGTTTAGCATCAGCATATTCTTGACTGTCCCGTCTGTTGAACTTACACAACGAAAACAGCTGCTTGTTAAGCCAACGACCTGCCTGTGTTTGTGACTAACCCTATCCTTGATGATCCACAATATTATGTCTCCAGTCTATTATGCTAAAGATCTGGACCTTTTCCCAAATGTGACTTCGTTTTGAGTTCGATTTTGAAGACGTGACGCCTTAAGTCCATTGCAACAAATAAGTCTTAGGAATGAAATTCTGAGCAAAGAGAAACTGACTGAGAAAGTGACTTCGACTTTCGAAGTTTTGGTGGCATCGGATCCAGGGTGATTATCATAAAATGATGGAGATATAATAGACACTGGCTCATCGAGGATGTCGTACTCCGACGACGTGGGAAATCGGTCATGATGTCATGCTATGGTTTGCTTGTTCCAAACACGATTATTTACAATTCGCTGTGATATACTTAAAAGTTCCCAACAGTGGTGTAAAAACCCCGACAAAATCATACGTTCATAGTGAGTGAGTGAGTGAGTTGGGTTTAACGCCGCTTTTAACAATATTCCAGTTATATCGCGGCGTGTGAGCTAAATGTGGGAGAAACCCGGTCTCAGACGTTTACCGCTTCGGTGAAACCCAAAAGCACGGGTATGGTGCTGCAAACCTAGAAACATAATCGGGGCGAACCGGGATTCGAACCCACGATCATAGGTTTCTGGCGTGCCCAAGGGACGCAACTCTGCACAGCGAATCGCGGCGCCTTAGACGGCTGGGCCACCCGTGCCCCCTCATACGTCCACAGTAACTTGTTGTTTGAATGCATGTACCATACATATTGTGAAGAACTGCAACGCATTATTTTTGTTGAATGTTATGTGATGAGCAATCTTTTCATTTGCGTGTTCCTGATAGCTTACACAGCCATGAACAGAGGAAAGTTTGAACGGGAAGACTACCTGAAGTATTTTGATTCAGCAGCATACCTGAAGACGTTTCACTCTGATATTAAAGGCAGCGAAAAGGAAGGGGACCTGATGCCATGGAAGATGAAGAATTTTCATGACGTTTTTGCAGAAGGTGACTTCATGATTAATGGAGGCGTTTTTAAGGACAGATGTAAAAGGGCGGAATGAGCTTATACCGAGGTGTAGAGCGTCCGCCCAGAGAGCACACACACACACACACACACACACACACACACACACACACACGTGCATGCACGTCGCTATATAAGTGCAATAATCTTGGACTCGACGTTAAACGCCATTTCACCTCACCTATACTGAGGTTCATTGTCAGTCGTCGTCTGAATGCTGGCCATATAGACATGTACCTGGTGCTTAATTGAAATGGATGCGTTGCTTCCTTGGGCAATATAGTCCTATAGACCTATGTCAAGTGTACCCTTGTTTAACTGTGTTGGGCAAGAAACGTCCATCGCCATAAAAACACACTTCCACTTCATTGTCCTCTTTCCCTTCGTCAATAACAAGTCCAACCAATGTGAGTCCTGATCCACCCTGATCTGTTGAAGGTGTCTGCAGCTGCCAGGAAAAATATACACTTCAAAATTGATCTGACCAAAATGTTACAAACGCTAACGTTACTGGGCTGAAACAGTTGATGAAACACTGCAAATTGAAGATCCCAACACAAAACTATGAAACCCGTATCAAATTCATCACCATCGAAAAACTATTTCTTGTTTGTTTCATTTTAGCCCCCATCATACATGGGTGCATGTTTTCTGTTGCCCGTCAGTTCAGTGAAGAGACTGGTTGTTGTAGCATTTTGTTATGGAAGGTAACATAATGATAGGCAATGATAAATGCATTATTATTAATACAAATCTTTCTTTCGCCTTTATGTGGCAGGGAAGGTGAATGGCCGGCGACTGCTCGACATCGGAACAGGCCCCACAATACACAGTGTGATCAGCGCCTCCAACTGCTGTGACACCATCTACCTGTCTGACTTGGCTCCCCAGAACAGGGAGACGCTGAGGAAATGGCTGGAGGGGACTCTGCAGCACAGCTTCAGGAGCTTCTTCCAATATGTGGTCGACAGAGAAGGGAAAGGGTAACTATTACTCCTTGACTGGCAGATTCCAATGTGTGGTCGACAGGGAAGGGAAAGGGTAACTATTACTCCTTGACTGGCAGATTCCAATATGTGGTCGACTAGGAAGGGAAAGGGTAATTGTTACTCCTTGACTGGCAGATTCCAATATGTGGTTCACTAGGAAGGGCATGGTAATTATTACTCCTTGACTGACAGATTCGAATATGTGGTCGACTAGGAAGGGCAAGGGTAATTATTACTCCTTGACTGGCAGATTCCAATATGTGGTTGACAGAGAAGGGAAAGGGTAATTATTACTCCTTGACTGACAGATTCCAATATGTGGTCGACAGAGAAGGAAAAGGGTAACTATAACTCCTTGACTGAGAGATTCCAATATGTGGTTGACAAGGAAGGGAAAGGGTAATTATTACTCCTTGACTGACAGATTCCAATATGTGGTCGACTAGGAAGGGAAAGGGTAATTATTACTCCTTGACTGACAGATTCCAATATGTGGTCGACTAGGAAGGGAAAGGGTAATTATTACTCCTTGACTGACAGATTCCAATATGTGGTCGACTAGGAAGGGAAAGGGTAATTATTACTCCTTGACTGACAGATTCCAATATGTGGTCGACTAGGAAGGGAAAGGGTAATTATTACTCCTTGACTGGCAAATTCCAATATGTGGTCGACAGAGAAGGGAAAGGGAAACTATAACTCCTTGACTGGCAGATTCCAATATGTGGTCGACAGAGAAGGGAAAGGGTAATTATTACTCCTTGACTGACAGATTCCAATATGTGGTCGACTAGGAAGGGAAAGGGTAATTATTACTCCTTGACTGGCAAATTCCAATATGTGGTCGACAGAGAAGGGAAAGGGAAACTATTACTCCTTGACTGACAGATTCCAATATGTGGTCAACAGGGAAGGGTAAGGTCACTATTACTCCTTTTCATTGCACCTGTGGCACTGATTAAAAAAATCGAAACGCTACTTGCACCCCGAACCTTTACATGTGCCAAATAGCCCTAAAGATTGAAAATGTATTTATGGCTACATTGTCGCTATTCACGATCTACTCTTTATATTTAAAGTAGTAGATTTTACTTTCAATAGACATTATCAATAGTTCATTTGGCTAAACGGTTTGGGTTTGGGTTAATGCCGCGGGGACCAAAATAATTTCCAATGCAAATATCCATTTTGACTTGTATCCTGTTCCCATGTTTGTTCCGGTGAATACTTAACTTGCCTTTGTGTGTGTTTGTGACGGCTGCTATCTTTACGTGAGCACCTGGTATCATCACTATTTGATAGTGTTGCATAAACACATGCTTACGATCTAGTGGGAAGCAAACAATGGACATTGGTTTCAGCAGAAATTTCTTATGTAAAGGTAGTTAGCTTGATGTGGAAGGAAAGCCCGAAGTGATGCGTGTCTTAGACGTTCACCGCTTTGGTGAAAATAACGAGCATGGGTATGGTGCTGACAAACCAGGAAACATAATCAAGGCGAATCTGGATTCGAAACCACGAATGTAGATTTTCAGGCAGGCCTAAGGGGCGCAAGTCTGAGCAGCGAATTGCGGCACCTGAAACGACAGGGCCACCATGCCCCTTCCCATAAGACCATTCTCGAAGTCGGACACAGTTCGGCAATGCATATCTGGAAATATCGTTGAAATGTATCTTTTAAGATTTCATCACCCTCTGTCATTCAGGACTTCATGGACACATCGGGAAGATGAACTGAGGACAAAGATCGGTGGCATCCTGCCTATTGACCTTCTGGAAGAGGACCCCATGGCGCCATGCTCCTTTCCAAGGTTCGACATAGTAACGACATCACTTTGTCTTGATTCCGTTGCCCTAGACCACGTAGGTTACGGGTATGCATCCAGAAAGATAACGAATTTGTTGAAGATAGGAGGTTTTCTGATTGTATTCGGACTGTATGGAGCAAGCACATACACAGTAGGCGAGCATGTGTTCAGGAGCTGTCTTGTCACTACTGGAGAAGTGAAGGATGTATGGACACACTGTGGGTTTGAAATTGTAGACTGGAGGGAAGAGAAGAACATGGAGAACACGGAGAAAACAGGGTCTGGTATTGAAGGCTTCTTTCTCATGACTGCTAAGAGGGTGCGTTAAGGATATTTACCTTTATTTGTCAAGTTGTTTGTTGTTTTACACCATACTCAGAAACTGTCCACTTATTTCAAGGCGGTCTGTAAATAATCGTGCCTGGGCCATTCAAACCAGTGATTGATATTATAATATACATGTCTCGATTAACGTCATGCGTGAGCATTCCGGGAAAGATGCGAGTCGTGACGAATGGATTTACGTGGAAAGTAAATTAAGAAATGAACACAACTGAGTTCTGTTTTTTGTCTTTCTTGTTTTTAGATATTACTATCGTGTACCATCACCATGTTCATTAGGTTAAAAGTGGGAAAAACCCATGACCGTATACTACAATAAATTGTCAATATAATACCTTGGTGTATCCGGCTATATTTACGAAAATATGTAGGGAACGCCATCACAACGAAATCAGCGAAAAATACTTCAGCAAAATCAGATCAAATCTCGGATAACTCTAGTTTTTCGAACCAATTCAAAACATCAGTGCAATAAAAAAAACAATATATAGCTTATGTGGTTCCTAACAATTCTTTCAAAGCGAATATGCAAGATCGTCTATATTTTAAATACACCCACAACATATAACAACCAAAAAGTTAAGAGCCCTTTTGGTCAACTATTTAAGAATTTCAAGGAATTCAAAAATTACATTTGATTACGGTCCAAAATAGAAATTTGAATGTTAATGCCGTACGTGTTCTGGAAAGCCAGTATGTTAAGAATTGGCAAAAACATCCACGATACTCACGTGGCTACCGTTGACGTTTTATGTACTTTTAAAAGAAATACTAAAAATAAATGCGCATCAATCAACATTTTGGAGCATTTACAGTAATCCACTATTATCATTTAACAACTTTAGGTTTTCATATAATCCAATGATGGCAGCAGATTGTCTAGGAATGTGCAGTTTTGCATGAGTGTAAGTTATTCCTAGTGTTACCATTGCCTTTGTTTGTACTGGATGTCCGTGTTAGGTCGCAGTCAGATCGTAATCACCATGGAAACCGCGCCCCTCAAACTGTCTCTTGATATGGAAAATGTTCGGCTTCATTTTCGTCAGCCATTCTTTCTCCAGAAGGTCAAGGAATCGCTGTCCAGCTGTACTCACCTAGTAAATGAACATGTGTCATTCTAGGCGAATTGGACGATGACTACATGCGTCATAATAACTGTTTTTCTGTTTGATCAGCGATATTTCAGCTACATAACCATAACCAGTAAATGATAGAGCCTGAGACAGACAATCCGGTGATTGATTGATATTATGCTTTATCATATAATGGGTAGGTTTTCGGCAGGATAAAGCCAACGGATAAAAACGATATCGGTTGGGATCATATTCGGATAGAGATGCAAATATCAAAGGTCAAGTATGGACTACTTTCAGTGTTTATGAACAAACATGGCGTCGCCCTTGTCATTCGGCGATCGAGTGACAATTAACCATCGGGAATCTAGATAAACTACAGGGATAATTGCTATCATTATCAAAAGAACAGTCTAATATACTGAACATCAGTGTCTAACTGTGAGTGAGTGAGTGAGTGAGTATGGTTTTACGCCGCTTTTAGCAATATTCCAGCAATATCACGGCGGGGGACACCAGAAATGGGCTTCACACATTGTACCCATGTCGGGAATCGAACCCGGGTCTTCGGCGTGACGAGCGAACGCTTTTAACCACTAGGCTACCCGACCGCCCCTTCTAACTGTGACGTAGGTAAGGCATTTTATAAGTTTTTGCAACTTTAGATATAAATTTCGAAACAATTTTGCGAGGGCCGAGCCAAGCAGGATCAGAAGCCATATCTGTGCTTGAAGAGCTCCGCGTCTTGAAACCTTTTCCACAAATTAAAATAGTTGGATTTGGCCGAAATTTGAATTGTTACCTTGTTTCGTTTTGTCACTGTGTGTACATCTGGCTTCACTTCTTAACGTTATGACAGGACAGGCCGACTGTCAACAACGTCTGAAATATGTCCGTGACGTCTCATAGACTTGGGTTAGAGTAGCGTCCCTTTGACAAAGGGAAGTTACTCCAGAAAGCGCACAGACATGGATTGCCGCGAAAGGCGAGTAAAAACAATTGTTGTTTTCATATATGTTGCTTCATCAGTGTATAAGAAGCAAATTTCAGTTGGAACTATATTGGCTACTGTCACTGTCCGACTAACACATCACTTACCCTGTGACGTAATGAATATTAATGCACGCATTCCAGGAAAACTCGCAATGTTTCGGTGATGTTTGTGAGAGAGGGAAAGCGATTTTCAAGCACAGAATTAAAGAATGACATTATATGATAAACAGGTTATCACGCTTGTGTGTTTGGGGATGGTAAATATCCTGTATTAGGAATAGGCACTATGTATTTAGCTCGCCAAAGCTCGCTTAATACAATGTTTATTCCTAATGCAGGATATTTACCATCCCCCAACACACTCGCGTGATAACCTCTATATATTTCGTAGTGGTAATCTCTCTTAGGACATTGCTGTCATATACACTGAATGCAATATGCACTTATTACGCTACGTAACAGCAGCTGTGTTTACATAATTGAAATAAGTCTCATATTTGGACGAAACGTTATGAATTCACATGTAATAACTATTTGAATACTTATTTCCAGTGAAAATGATACCTAAAGCGTAGAACTGTTTATCAATTATTTATCCAAAAGAAGACCAATCTGTGCGTATTAGTTTCAAGTCACATGTAGTTATATCACATTGACATATAAATTAACGTCCCCTCGAAGATCCGGGTTACAACTGGTCTTTAGCAAACTATGCTTGTCGTGAGAGGCGACCAACGGGATCGGGTGGTCAGGCTCGCTGACTTGATTGATGCACGTCATCGTCGATCGATGCTTAAGGTGTCAATCACTGAATCGACTATTTACAGAATGGCCGGAACATTGCTGTGTTTGGCGTTAAACAAGAAACAATTATTTTTCGGACAACTTATTTTATGAACACAAGTTGGAACCCTCGAGTCAAGCAGCAACAAACTGAAGTGAATGCACCTAAAAAGTTACAGAAAAGGTCCCTGTATAAATTGTATCTATTACCATTCAAGAAATGTGTCATTCGCAGTCTGCAATATTCCTTCTATATGACGGCAACTGTCTAAACAAGGCAAACCTGTGATTGACATAATGAGCACCGATGTACACCATCCAGATACGAAGACGCGCATTCAGCCATTGAGTCTAACAACCCGATCCCCATCTTAAACCCTTAGGGATTCCGGGTTCGAATAGACCCCCAGCATCCAATGTCGGTCTATGACGAGACGTAATGGATCTTGATGTCAGACTCGGTGACTTGGCTGATTGTATGTCATCATATCTCGATGGCGTGGAACTTTGATCATGATATCAATCACATGTTTTACTTGTTCACAGTGGATTAGTTATAGGCCACCATATATAGCTGGAATATTGCGGCGCTTACGAACACAGTAATTGATCTCATGAGGCACCGGGGACAAACTGTGGTGTGTTTGTTTGTTTGTTGTGTAACGCAGCCTACATTCTACCTATATGACGGTGGTGTGTAAATAATCGAGTCTGGACCAGAAAACCCAGTGATTGACAACATGAGCATCGATCCGCGCAGTTGGGATCGATGACATGCTTTAACCAAGTCAGCGAGCCTAACCACCCGATCCCGGTACTGTAGTGACATTAGTGCAGTTTCCTACCAATCACTTGTCAACATCCGGGGAAAACAAGCCCAGTTCGCTCACCACAGAGGGAGGCCAACTCGTGCATGCAGGTAATTCGTTTCTGATACAATGATACAATGTTAAAGTGATTAAGTTTGGTTAAAAACCACTTTGAAAAAGGTTTCCGTTATCAGACGGCGTGTCATCTTATTGTGGGAGGAAAACCCGAAGTAATACAGGTGTAAGACGTTACCACTTTTGTGAAACCCACGATCAATTGTATGGAGCTCACAAAACATTATTCATGAGCATAAACCAGTTGTCCTGGATGAAGTTTTAAGTTTTCATGAATTCAAACCCGGTTACTTCATTGAATTCAAATGGAGGTGTATGAAATGTTCATGTATTTATCAGTTTTTTCCTCACAGTAAGCACTATTATAGCTATACCACATCTTCTCGAAACAAGGGAGTTAATTGACAATAAAAGTCCAGTTTCCACCCTTGTGAACTCGAAATTGCTTGGAATTTCGTGGGTCGATCGTAGCCTCACCAGTGGCTATTACGAGTTCTGTCTGTTGTATCTGAAGTCTGAAGTCGCCATGTTGTTTATGAATATCGTTACGCGATTTTGATTGACTTTGCACAGACTCTTTAGTTTAGCCAAAATATAACTCAGAAAATCAAGCTTAGTTTGGCTGAGGTGGAAATTGGACTGTTATAGTCAGTTAACTCACGGCAACAGCCCATATTGTCGGATATGGCATGTAATCAGTCAGATCAAAACCTTTGACTAAGTGATCCTCATTGTGGACGGACCCAGCGGTCCTGGAGACCTATTCTACCTTGCAGTCCTCACAGGGATTGACACAGGACCTGTAAGCAATCGTGTCACAATACATGACATGAAGAGTCATTTCCAAACACATTGGAGCAGCAAAGCCTCGAAAATCCAGTGGAATGAATGATTTGCTATTGTGCACTGTACCAAGTGCATGACGTACTTGAGAAGGATTCCGGGTAAGAAGAGGTCCCTAGCAACCTGTGCTGGTCCTAACAGGCGACGGAATGGATAGGGTGTTCAGACCAGGTGACTTGGTTGATTGACTTAGGACCCCAACTTCATGAATCGTTGTCCACAATATCAATCGGCTGCAAAGCCCCTTCACCTGGGAGCCAAGGAAATGGTTGCTAAGAACTTGGACATGAATCCCCTACTCCTGTGGAGCCAAGGAAATGGTTGCGAGGAACTTGGACAGGAATCCCCTACTCTCGTGCCATCGCTTTCTCTTCTCGTGCTATCGCCTTCTCTTCTCGTGCTATCGCCTTCTCTTCTCGTGCTATCGCCTTCTCTTCTCGTGCTATCGCCTCTCTTCTCGTGCTATCGCCTTCTCTTCTCGTGCTATCGCCTTCTCTTCTCGTGCTATCGCCTTCTCTTCTCGTGCTATCGCTTTCTCTTCTCGTGTTATCGCCTTGTCGTCTTGTGCTCGCTTTATCGCTATTTCAAGACCGATATTGTAGTCGATAATGCGATGTCCCTTCTCGGCTACCATAGTTTACTTATATTAATTGTAACAGGCCGTCAGAATACGGAATATTATTAAATGTATCAAATGACAGAGGTTTTCGGAAACCTGAAAAATTAATTAAACATGATGCAAAAATACACAAAATTACTTTAAGTATCACATTACAGAATGTTTATTGGCCTGAATACAAGAGACGACGTCATCTGGCTTTACTATATGAGTCGAGAAGTTGTCTTTGGCCCAACACTTGAGTGCGTTGGAGATCTCATGCTGAGTACGAAACATACTTCAGACGTCGAATCACAAAGTGAGTAAAATCGTGTTTATACCATGTGCATAGTTTAATGATTGCTCTACGTCTATTGCTCTTTCTTTCTGTTATACAACTGTCATGTGAAGGCAGTAACCAACGTAATCTGGTCTAGAAGCATCACTCAGGGTCAACCAGTGTTAAATAATAGAATATTCTGAACTGTCCCGTCTGTGGAACGTACATTACGAATACAGCTGATTGTTGAACCATCGACCTACACCCAGCCCCCCTATCTGTGTGTGTGTGTGTGTGTGTGTGTGTGTGTGTGTGTGTGTGTGTGTTACCCTATCCTTGATGATCCAGAATATTATGTCTCCATTCTGTACTGAGTCAAATTAAATACTTCACATTTTTGAAAGTAATCCCATATATGATATACAATGGACAAATGTATCAGAGACGGTAATTTTTAATCATTAATGTCAAAAGAAGGATTTTAATTAACGGTGGTAACCATAATTTGTTCCAAGCACCTCCGGTAATAACATCAACAGTTTAAATCATAAGTCCCAAGCACGAGAATCTGATGGCACACAAGTTCAGTAGCGTGTATGGCCACCATGTGGTTTGACAACTGCCACACAACGCCTCCGCATGGACCTTGTGATGCTTGTGAACACATGATTGGGAAGACGACGCCATTGATCTGCAAAATGGTGCCAAGATCTTGCAAATTCTGTGGTTGGTTCTGGAGAGTGCGCAGACTTCTGCCAAGAGCATCCCAGACGTGTTCGATGGGATTGAGGTCGGGAGACCTTGACGGCCAGTCCATGACGTTGACTCCCGCATTCTGAAGGAAATTCCTTGTCAAAATTGCTGTGTGGGGTCTGGCATTGTCGTGTTGGAAGATCAAACCGGGTCTATGTGCTGCCATAAAAGGCAGAAGTTCTGGTGCCAGTACCTGGTCGCGGTAAGCAGCAGCGTTGAGGTTGCCACGGATGACAAGAAGCCTGGAACGTGCATTGCCACAGAAAGCACCCCACACCATGACACTTCCGCCTCGAAATCTGTCAACTTCCTGTACACAAAACTGGGCGTAACGTTCATGACGGCGCCTCCACACCCTCGCCATACCATCAGCAAATCAAAGATTAAATCGGGATTCATCACTGAAGACGACTTGATTCCATCGTAAGTGTCGCTGTGCCCACAATTGACGTTGACGTCTGTGTCATTGAGTCAGAATCGGCCCGAAGTATGGCCGTCGTGCTTGAAGGTGTTTTTTTTCGAACAGTTTGCGCACTCAGTCTACCCCTAAATAGTTCATTTCTGGTTGATGTAGCCGTCAAAAATCGGTTACGGAGGTGACGCAAGACAATCTGACGATCCTCTGCATTTGACGTCACACGTGGTCGACCTGGCCGAGGGCGATCAGCGGTCGTAACCGTTTGCTGTAGACGCGTCTGTATATTATAAACAGTCCTTCGACTACAACCCATCGTCCTTGCGACTTCAGCTACGGACGTTCCCGTCTGCAACATGCCGATGGCAAGTTCACGTTGCACATTTGAAAGGCGTGGCATGACAAATGGCCGTAAAGACTTTTGTTTTCTTGTGTTTTTCTTTTTTTGTAAATGACTGCTAACAAGTATTGCTGAAAACACGTGCGGTATAATGGCCACGTGAACAGTTGCACGTGAAAAAACACTTTTGCCACTATAGTGCTGTGCACATGATTTTGATCAATTCAACTGCACAAAAATGGGTGTTATCTGAAGACAATACGTGGCCATTACTGTTTAAATACACAATAAGGGTCCACAATGATAACTGGTCAAAATGTTATTTTTTTAGGATTGTGAAGTTTTTTTAATTTGGTTCAGTACATCATGATAAATACCCTGGACTGAGAAAATGACATTCACTTTCTAAGCTTGAGTCCAGGGCATTTATCATAATTTGATGGAGATATAATATACACTGAATCATCAAGGATGCCGTACTCCGACGACGTGGGTAGGTGGTCATGCTGTCCTGCACTAGTTTGCTTGTCCCCAACACGATTATTTACGGTTTTTTATTACGATTTTTTCGTCGGCATATATTTGAAAGTTCCCGACAGTGCTGTAAAAATAACCAACAAGAGTATATATATTAACAGTAATATATTGTTTAAAAGCATGTGTTAAGACATATTGTATAGAATTAGAACGAGTTATTGATGAGGCATTAGTTCATCTGCGTATGTCTTTACGCAGCCATGAACAGAGGAAAGTTTGGACGTGAGGACTACCTGAAGTATTTTGATTCAGCAGTTTTCCTGAAGACGTTTCACTCTGATATTCAGCGAAATGGAGGGGGACCTGATGCCTTGGAAGATGACGAGTTTTCATGACGTTTTTGCAGAAGGTGACTTCATGATTAATGGGGGCGTTTTTAAAAAGATCGGAATGAGCTTACACCTAGGAGAATAGTCCGTCGTCGTCTGTCGGTGTCTGACCATATAGACATACCCGGGTGCTTAGTAAACTATTGAAATGGGTGCGTTGCTTCCTTCGGCCTATCGACCAATGTCAAGTGTACCCTTGTATAACTGTGTTGGGCAAGAAACGTCCATCGCCATAAAAACACACTTCCACTTCATTGTCCTCTTTCCCTTCATCAATAACAAGTCCAACCAATGTGAGTTCTGATCCACCCTGATCTGTTGAAGTTGTCTAAAGCTGCCAGGAAAAAATATACACTTCAAAATTGATCTGACCAAAATGTTACAAACGCTATCAAAACGTTACTGGGCTGAAACAGTTGATAACACAATGCAATGCAAACTGAAGGTCCCAACACAAAACTACCCGTATCAAATTCATCACCATCGAAAAACTATTTCTTGTTTGTTTCATCTTAGCCCTCATCACAAATGGGTCGATTTTTCTGTTGGGCGGCAGTTTAGTAAGGAGACTGATTGTTTTGATGCGGGGGTTAAACAGACAATGTTTGTTTGTTGTTTAACGCCACACTCAGCAATATTCCAGCTATATAATCGAGTCTGGATCATACAATCCAGTGATTGACATCATGAGCATCGATCCACGCATTTTGGATACGATGACATGCCTGACCACCCGATCCTGTTTGTCGCCTCTTACGCAGGCATAGTCGCCTTTTACAGCAAGCATGGGTTGCTTAAGACCTATTCTACCCCGGACCTTCACTGGTCTTAACAGTGATAAATCCATTATTATTAATAAAACTCTTTCTTTCTTCTTTTATATTGCAAGTTTGACTGGCCGGCGGCTGCTCGACATCGGAACAGGCCCCACAATCCACACTGTGATCAGCGCCTCCAACTGCTGTGACACCATCTACCTGTCTAAAATCGCCCCCCAGAACAGAGAGACGCTGAGAAAATGGCTGGAGGGGACTCTGCAGCACAGCTTCAAGAGCTTCTTCCAATATGTGGTCGACAGGGAAGGGAAAGGGTAACTATAACTCCTTGACTGGCAGATTCCATGTGTGGTCGACAGGGAAGGGAAAGGTCACTATTACTCCTTGACTGGCAGATTCCAATATGTGGTCGACAGAGAAGGGAAAGGTCACTATTACTCCTTGACTGGCAGATTCCAATATGTGGTCGACAGAGAAGGGAAAGGTCACTATTCCTCCTTGACTGGCAGATTCCAATATGTGGTCGACAGAGAAGGGAAAGGGTACCTATTACTCCTTGACTGGCAGAGTTTTTGACTCGATGCACAATTGATTGCACTTGGACCATTGATTAACACAGGGAGCCCTCCAGACAACCCGAACCTCCACAGATGCGTACAAGACTTTAAGTTCATTCATTGCTACCGTTGTCATCATTCTTGCTCAACCTTTTATATCGAATGTGACAATTATTGTTCATTTCTAATTCTATATAATCATTTTAAATCGGAAGAATACTGAATATTGGCACGTTTGTCATTTTCCATAACATACTTGGCCGATGTTTCACCAGAATATATTTTCTTCTGGCAATTACATTATGCTTGTAGTCTTCAAAATATTGACAAAGTCAAAGCAAGTTAGTTTCACCAAAACGTTTAACTTCAGGTATATTTACATTGATGATCGGATATCATTCAGTGACCATCAAATAAAAAAAATCCCTTCCACTGATGTACCCACCTGAACTAGACATAAAGGACACCACTGAGACCGCCACATCTGTTTGTTTCATATTGAGATTTGTGCTTAAAGATTCAGAGTGACTAAAGCTCTCCACAAGACTATGAAAGAGAGGTGACTTCAACCTTCCCTTAATGTCGAGTGATATTCCAGCAGATCCAGTCTTTGGTGTCTACATTTCACAAGTTTTGAGGTAATATCGAGCTCTTTCTACGAAGATTTCAAAGACGCCACCTGACTCTTTCTCAAAAGCTGTTTGATCAAGGTTACACCATTCAAGGCCTCACTAAAGTTTTCAAAAGGTTTTTATGGTAGAGATGCAATTTCCAGACGAAGAGACGCGTCAGTGACAAAAATTATGTCCGATGCAAGTCCCTCTTTTGGCTTATATTCCCGTGTTTTTCAGGTGAACAAGTAACTCGCCCTTGCATGTGTTTGTGACGTGTGCCACCAGTGGGGCAAGACACACTCACCTTTTCGTGAACACCTGGTGTCATCACTATTTGAAATGATTCATAAACACATGCTCATGAAATAGTTGGAATCGTACAATGGAGATTTCTTGTGGGTGTGAGAAGGGTTTTGTCGCTTTTATGTTGCTTAAAACACATTCTACTTGAAGTTAATATAGCACTGTAACGAAATAACCGCTTAAAAGCGAAATATTCGGCAATTCGAGTATATGCATGGTAAGAAAGTAGTTGTGCTACCTTACTGGACTTTATGCAGTTACAAAATATACATTTGACCAAAATCCTCGATTATCCAGTGTATCATATCTCCTTTCTGTTTTGATAAATACCCTAATTCGTTTTGACCCCGGTTCGAAAGGCAGGAAGCTGAAAATACCAGTCCAATCAAACCACTCACATGAGCAACACATTCTTTGCTAAGTTAGCGATACCAGAGATGGGCATGGTGACGTCACTTCCGATATTTGTCCAAATAGTATGGAACTTTCCATACCCTGTGTAATCGATGCCCTAATACCCTAAAATCTCTAAATCAACCTTTCAGAGAAATTCCCAGTGGCAGAGAAGCCATGTTGAAAGATAAGATCGTGGGGATCTTTCCACTTGACCTTCTGCAGGCGGAGCCTCTGCTGCCATCACTGTTTCCTACGTTTGATATCATCACTTCGTCATTGTGTATAGAGGTTGCTGCTCCTGATCTCGCCGGCTACGAGATCATAGCGAGAAGTGTAGGAAAACTTCTGAAGGAAGGAGGCCATATTGCTCTCTTTGGAGTTTTGGGGGGATCTTTCTACCAAGTGGGCAGCCACACATTCTACTGCCTCAAGATCAGTGGAGAACAGGTCCAAGATATCTGGAAACGATCCGGATTCAAAATTGTTGGCTGGAAGCAAAATGCTTCCCTTGGTCAACATGATACTTCATTGTCAGATTTTGAAGGTGTGTTTCACATGGTAGCACAGAAGTGTCTTTAATGAGGAGCAATATTCCGCACGTTGCAGCAGATATGCATAGGCCCCATTAAGAAAATTTATTACGTTTTATCACCTTTTGTTTGTTTGTTTGTTGTTCAACGCTGCACTAAGCAATATCCATCTATATGACGGTGGTCTGTAAATCACGTCTGGACCATACAATCCAGTGATTGACATCATGAGCATCAATCCACGCAATTGGGATACGATGACATGCATCAACCAAGTCAGCGAGTCTGGCCACCTGACCCCGTTAGTCGCCTCTTACCACAGGCACAGTAGTCGCTTGGGTTGCTGAAGACCTGTTCTACCCCGGATCTTCACGGGTCGTTTTATTACCTAGTTGAATGAAGTAATAACGTGGTGCCATGAAGACGTCGAAGCGTTGATGTTATTCTCTAGTGACAGGGGCGTGAGATATAACATTCTCTGGACCTAATTCTGAAATGGCGACTAAACCGTAAATGCTCTTTCATACTTACATGGGCAATGATGGGTGGGTGGATACTGCACAAAAACATCTTTCTAGCTATGACGATATATTTCCATAATGGTTTCACTTTCAGATTAAAATGTTTTAACAGGGCTTGTTTTATTTGTTTGTTGTTTAACGCCCCACTCAGCAATGTCCTAGCTTCAGGACGGCGGTCTGTAAATAATCGAGTCTGGACCAGACAATCCAGTGATTGATATGACCATCGATCAACGCATTTGGGATACGATGACATGCATCAACCAAGTTAACGAGTCCTGTGAGTCGCCTCTTACGACTATTTTAACAGGTGATTGAATTTCACTTCTTATGGTGTGTCACGCCGTGCGTATAACAGCATATAAGCACAATGCCGAATCTGGTTATTAATGTTTCCAGCGAGCGAGTGACGTTTTACGCGACACCAGACATGCCATGCTATGCAATCAGCAACATTTGCAGCTACATCACGCTGACCTGACAACAATCGTGTCTCTGCCAAGGAAACAGCAATTAAATTCGGATCCGAATCCGTCCTGAGCGATCCGTCATGTGCGATCCGTCCTGAGCAATAAGGTTTGTTTGTTTGTTTGTTGTTAAACGCCGCCCCCAGCCATATTCTAGCTATATGACGGCGGTCTGTAAATAAACTCGTCTGGACCAGACAATCCAGTGATTGACATCAATGGCATCGAACCACGCAATTGGGATACAATGACATGCATCAACCAAGTCAGCGAGCCTGACCACCTGATCCCGATAGTCGCCTCTTACGACAAGCATGGGTTGCTGAAGACCTGTTCTACCCCGGATCTTGACAGGTGGATTCAACTTAATAAATACAGATGCTGACTACACCTTTGTGAGAGTACTCTTTACGACTACGTTGTTTATATTTCACAAGCTGAGCTACAGTAACGATGTATTGTTTTCATCATATCACCAGGTATCACCAGGTATATGCCCAGCTGGGGGCGTTCTTACCAAAGTCTTCATGGCAACATATTTGCTAACATGCCATGTGACGTGCGTCATGATGTTCCCCGATTTTCTCCGTTGTATCCTTATAGTACTTTTGTTTGATTGAGAGCCTCTGACCGCCTCCGTGGTCTAGTGGTAGAGCGTCTGCCTGGAGAAGGTCCGGTTCGATCCCCAAAAGACGTTTAAAGATGGCACTTGTTGTTACCCTGTCTGGCGCTCGGCATTAAGGGGCTAAAACAAGGACTGGTCGGCTCGGAGTCAGTTTACTGTGTCTGAGTGGGGTATTCATGTTAAACTGCGGCATGGTATTTCAGTGTGCTAGCACTATAAATCGGCATCAGTCCAGACTAGTACAAGCAGCCACACACACACACACACACGTGCATGCACGTCGCTATATAAATGCAATAATCTTGGACGCTACGTTAAACCCAATTTCACCTCACCTCGCCTTGAGAGCCTCTGATAGTCTGTGCTTGACTGCATTTCGGAGTGCGCCACCTCTTAAAGGTCGTTGCCCACCTTTGACCACAGGAGGCAGCGGGCATCAGCCCGGTGTCTGGAAGTTGTCAACAATTTGGAATCAGTGACGTATATGGGCATTTAGTCTTTTCATAAAGAACAAGCGTGAGCTTTTCATTTCTATTTTATTCAGGATTAAGGAATAATTACCCATTTGACCGTAGTTTGTTTAGGGCTTCTGCAGCAGTCTCATAATGGGCAAAAGGAACATCAGACAATATAGAGCACGAGGCAATATCGAACACCAGTCAATAAGGAGCACAAGACAATAAGGAACACGAGGCAATATGGAACACGAGGTAATATTGAACACCAGACAATATGGAACACCAGACAATACGGTACACGAGACAATAAGGATAACCAGACAATATGGAACACGAGGCAATATGTCAATCACTGGATTGTCTGGTCCAGACTCTATTATTTTCAGACCGCCGTTATATAGCTGGAATATTGCTATATACCAATTGGTATATTTGAATATACGCACGTTTTTTGTGTGAAAAGGTTTGAAATATCTGAAAGGGGTTTCCGCAGCAAAATGGAAACCTCTTTTTAACCAATCAGAATCAAGCATTCATCAATGTCATGGTAGAATATATGATAGTAGATGTGGAGGTGATTAGATCTGAAATAGCATTCATACTAAGATGCATGAGATATAACAACGAGTTAATTTGGTTTAACGCTGCTTTGACCAGTTCTTCAGCTTGATGTGGGACGGCAGCCTTAGTGGTTGACGTTTTGCACTTGAAGCCCCCGTAATGGGCATATTGCTGACAAACCAAGAGACATAATCATGGCAAATGTCAGTTTCGAACTCAATATAAAAGGTTTCCGTCACGCCTCAACGTCGCAACTCTGCACCTCGAATTGCTGCAATTGAGACAAGTCAGAAATAGGAAGAGGCGTTATTCAATTGGACAACCCTTGCCAACATCAGGTGACATAGCTGGCATCATCAGGTGCCACTTGCATCATCAGATGACATAGCTGGCATCATCAGGTGACAACGGGCATTATCAGGTGACAACTGGCATCATCAGATGACATAGCTGGCATCATCAGGTGACATAGCTGGCATCATCAGATGACATAGCTGGCATCATCAGGTGACATAGCTGGCATCATCAGGTGACAACTGCCATCATCAGATGACATAGCTTGCATCATCAGGTGACATAGCTGGCATCATCAGGTGACACTTGCATCATCAGATGACATAGCTGGCATCATCAGGTGACACTTGCATCATCAGGTGACATAGCTGGCATCATCAGGTGACATAGCTGGCATCATAAGGTGACAACTGACATCATCAGATGACATAGCTGACATCATCAGGTGACACTTGCATCATCAGATGACATAGCTTGCATCATCAGGTGACATAGCTGGCATCATCAGGTGACACTTGCATCATCAGATGACATAGCTGGCATCATCAGGTGACACTTGCATCATCAGGTGACATAGCTGGCATCATCAGGTGACATAGCTTGCATCATAAGGTGACAACTGACATCATTAGATGACATAGCTGACATCATCAGGTGACACTTGCATCATCAGATGACATAGCTTGCATCATCAGGTGACATAGCTGGCATCATAAGGGGACAACTGACATCATCAGATGACATAGCTGACATCATCAGGTGACACTTGCATCATCAGGTGACATAGCTGGCATCATCAGGTGACATAGCTTGCATCATCAGGTGACATAGTTGGCATCATCAGGTGACAACGGGCATCATCAGATGACATAGCTGGCATCATCAGGTGACATAGCTGGCACCATCAGGTGACATAGCTGGCATCATCAGGTGACAACTGACATCATCAGGTGACATAGCTGACATCATCAGGTGACATAGCTGGCATCATCAGGTGACATAGCTGGCATCATCAGGTGACACTTGCATCATCGGGTGACATAGCTGGCATCATCAGGTGACATAGCTGGCATCGTCAGGTGACAACTGACATCATCAGGTGACAACTGGCATCATCAGATGACATAGCTGGCATCATCAGGTGACATTGCTGGCATCATCAGGTGACAACTGACATCATCAGGTGACAACTGGCATCATCAGGTGACATAGTTGGCATCATCAGATGCCATAGCTGGCATCATAAGGTTAGTTAGGTAGTTAGTTGGTTAACGTATAATACTAAACAAATACAACACTAAACACATAACACTAAAACGTATAACACTAAACATATACAACACTAAACACATATGACACTAAACACATAACACTCAGCACGTATAACACTTAAACGTATAGCACTAAACATATACAACACTAAACACATATGACACTAAACACATAACACTCAGCACGTATAACACTTAAACGTATAACACTAAACATATACAACACTAAACACATATGACACTCAACACATAACACTATACACATATAACACTAAACACATACAACACGAAACAAATATAATACTTAACACGTTTAACACTAAACACATAAAACACGGAACACGTTAAACACTTAACACATAACACTAAACACATAACACACTTAACACATAACACTAAACACGTATAAGACTGAACACATATAACACTGAACACATACAACACTAAACACACAACACTAAACACATAACACTAAACACATAACACTAAACACGTATAAGACTGAACACATATAACACTGAACACGTTTAACACTAAACATATACAACACTAAACACACAACACTAAAGACATAACACTAAGCACGTATAACACTGAACACATTTAACACTAAACATATACAACACTAAACACATAACACTAAACACGTATAAGACTGAACACACATAACACTGAACACGTTTAACACTAAACATATACAACACTAAACACATATACAGTAAACTACGGTTATAACGAACTCAAAGGGACCACTTGTTTTAGTTCGTTATAACCGTAGTTCGTTATAAGCATATATACAGCATATATACAACACATGGACGGGACTACAAAATCAGTTCGTTATATCGGTCAGTTCGTTATAAG